GTAGCGTTTTCAGTGCTGGAGCATTTAGTGCTAAGTTGAGAACAGCTTGAGAGTCAGCAAAATCCAAGTGTGTCTCTATGGTCAGAAGGTAAACACTAATGAAAGACTAGAAGCTAATGCATCACACACTGGAATGGCAGTGACACAGGGTCAGTAGTTCATTTGTAATCATACAATCGCTAGATCAGACAGAACAACTGTGATTGGGATTTATAAATTATGAACTTATATAAACTATTTGACTTTAATTACTTTTTTACTGAATTTCGTATGAGATCTCAGAAGCTACTGTCAAATAATTGGCATCAATGAACACAGTGAACAATATGAATGTTAGTGAATATCAGTGAATTAAATGAAATTTAATTTTGAATTAAGCTATTAAAAATACATGAAAAAATAAAATCCAAGGTTTAACTATACATTGCTCCATCACTTTAGATCAGAAAAGGTTTTGTGGCATTTTTCCTTATACTAATTTAGTTGTGGAACACAAGCTCTTAAGTTGTGGATTCCTGTGTATGAAAAAAAATGCTGTCAATCACAGGCAAACGTACACTTTCACACGGATCCCACAATTTGTGAAAATTTTGTAATTGAAGATGAAATTAAATAGATAAATTGGGAATATAAAGGTTGTGAAATCTGTAATTCAATTAGGTCATTCTCTGTCAATCTTTTACCATGAGTATCCTACATTTCTTCAGACAGCTACATGGCTATGTGGTGGCATGTCTGCCATGGAGGATATTGTGCAGCCACTCTCTGACCCAGCAGAAATAAGGGACGTGCTACAGCACTTCAAAACCAAAAGGCATAGCAGCATAAATGGTAAGCATCTGAAGTACAGTTACTGCAGGCTAACATTTTACCTTATATCACTGTATAGCACTAATAAATATAAACAGTTGTTCTAACACAACTGTCCTTGTTCATTAGTTAAATTTTTAAAGCATGGAAAATTTTGGAAGGCCTTGCTTGAAATTGAGACCCCTTCATTACCCCTCATAAAAGGGTTAAGCAAGTTTGACTAAATGTATACACACGAGTGATTGTGGTGGTGTTCTAAAATTATTAACATTACTATGAAATTATGATTATGTGTAGGCGTAGTCTTACTTGAGATTTCTTTTCTGACAGCATCCATCCACACAACAAATGAAGTTGTTTGTATGCCCCTCTCGGCTGACGGAGGGCAAATCTTCTCTTCAGCATCTGTTGAACAAGAGACGGTCGTACCTGCCAGTTCGATTGCACAAGAGAAAATCTCGCATCCCTCATCAGTTGCACAAGAGGCAATCATCATTGCACAAGCAGTGACTGAAAACCAGTCAGAGTGTGACAGTGCTGCTGCCACTATAATGAGTCCCACCCCTAGTGACACTGAGGAGGCAGAACCTTTGGTGGACAACATCGCGGTGGCCACCACAGTTGGGGTCGAGGGTGAACTAGAAGAGGACACGGTTTACGAAGAGAACAATACAGGGATTTGTGAAGTCCAGCAAATCTACCTCACTGCAGATGGGTCTACTGTCATTGTTTCAGAGCTGGACAACGGTGAAGAGGAAGCCACTCAGCTGCAGTTTCTGGAACAACCAGAAGACATGGAGTCTCCTGAGGTAAGGGAAATAAGCATTGAAGAGTGGATCTCAGAGATGGCTGGAAAGGTGATTTCTCTTCCAACCTTGACCTCTCCTCCTTCTGTAGAGGTTGTTTCAGAGGAGAAGACATACGTTCCTATCATTGAAAGACCACCGTCTATAAAGACCATCATTAACAGAAAAAGTATACCCTTTCAGGCAGCACTAGGTAGAAAGGTTATGGCAGTGCCTGCTGAGTCTCAGCTGACACAAGAGGCGGGCGAGAAGAAGCACGCGTGTCGCTTGTGTAAGAAAGAGTTCCGCTACGATTGCCAGCTGAAGAACCACATGCGCACGCACACGGGCGAAAGGCCTTTCCAGTGTTCGGACTGCGGCAAAAGCTTCAGATGTCTCAGTTTTCTGTCCAATCACATTAAAACGCACTCGCTCGCCAGGCCCTTCAAATGTGTGCTGTGCAATAAGACTTTCCGCAAAAAAGCAGACCTCATCAAGCACGTTCGCGTGCACACAGGCGAGAAACCGTACAAGTGCAACATCTGCGGGAAACGCTTTTCTCAGGGCTCGTACCTGAAGATCCATCGCGAATGCCACACCTCGGAAAACCTCCATCAATGCCCTCACTGCGAAAAATCCTTCCCGACCGCGTTCAAACTGTCCATCCACGTCCGTTATCACTCCATGGCGCGCTCGTACCAGTGCAACGTGTGCGGCAAAAGCTTCATCTATGCCAGTCTGCTGAAGAGGCACAAGGGGTATCATGCAGGGGAGCGCAAGTACTTGTGCTCTATATGCGGCAAGTCCTTTGTGTACATGTTTGACTTAAACAAGCATGTGCGCAACCACGAGAAACCTCGCATGCAGATCCCATGCACCCTTTGCCACAAGACGTTAGCCGGACCCGAGATGCTGCGATGCCACATGCGCATCCACACGGGAGAGCGGCCCTTCAGCTGCAAGGTGTGCGGCAAGGCTTTCTCCCAGATCGGGAACATGAAGAGGCACGAACGCGTGCACACGGGTGAGCGCCCGTTCACCTGCAAGGAATGCGGCAAGACCTACAAGCACTCGTCCCACCTGAAGACGCACATGCTGAACCACACAGGCGAGCGGCCCTGGCAGTGCTCCCACTGCGGCAAGAGCTTCAAGTTCTCAGCACCCCTTAAGAAGCATGAGCGGACTCACCTGGCTGAGCAAGGGGAGCACAGGGGTTTCGACCAAACCCGTGGCCGCAAAAAAAGCGAAACCAAAAACCCCTAAAGGACAAAGAGCTCGAGCGCTTTCTTGCCTGTTTGAGTATCGCTGTGATCCTTGTCTGATCTGGCTGAGCTTCAGTTCTGAGCTCAGTATCTTTACAGGCTTCCATGCTAATAAAAGAAAGGTCGTCTTCTAGGGAATGTCACAGAGGGGTTTAATAGAAAACTCCTCTGGGAATGGAGGTGATGGAGAAAATGCAAATGTGTTACAACAAGTACACAAATGAGTTGTCTTGCCCTGCAATCTTGCTCAGTTAGAAGGAGCATTATTAATGTCTTTAGGACATGGAGGAGATATGGAGGAAATCAGAGGAAATGTCTATCGCTTAGAGGTACACAGAAGGTAGACACAGTCAGAAGGAGCTGTTCCAGGTACCGATCAAGTATAAGCGTAAATGATGCACAACAGATGTAGAAGTTTGTTGAAATATTCAGCAGAGATACTTTATAAGCGAGTGCTTTCATACACAGAGGACATATTTTCATACTTTTTTTGTTTTGTTTAATCAGAACTGTTTTCTAAGAAGTTTTGGGAGCACATGGAAGTAGTTCCATTCTTGGAATGGTCCAACAGAATCTGTTGGTGCTTATATAGATGAAGTGAATAAGTATTCTGTACCAGGAACAGTGATTAGGAGCAGTAAATATTCCTAAAGATGCGCTATTCACATTGTGCTAGCATAATGGCAAAATCATGTTAAATAAAATGATAAGTTATGTTTGGGGAAAATTAAACTTTGGGCTGTTTTTTTTTTTTTTAAACACACCATATATAAATCTTTTAACTCATGCTTTGAGTTAGAAGTTCACAGTAAGGAAACAGAAGAAAAATTGTACATTTAACTTGTTACTAATAGTGAGGTCTAAAGTATTTTGGATTTTTGGATTCAATAAATTATCGCACCACATTCAGAGGTGCTGTTTTTCTTGGCATGGCTAATACATTACACTGAAAAGGGAAAGGTTATAATACAAAAAGGTTTGTATGCAAAATATATACTGTACCATGGGGGAAAAATATAAGCAATATTATGGTTTTCTTTATTCAGATGTGTTATTTGCAGTTGTGGTTATGCATTTTTATAGCTATATAAGCTCAGGTGATCATTTGTCTTTTCACTTTGGACAGGCATCCTCCTCTTACTTCCATTGAACTACTGACAAAAATAAGCTATTGTCTACCAGTATAAAGTGGAACAGATTAGTGGTCTTAGTGGAATTGGACTCTGTTTATTGCTTAGAGACACGGAGGTTAGATTCAGCCATTTTTTCAAAATAAATGTAGGCAATAAAATGAAGCGAAAAATGTCATGCAGTCTATAAATAAAAACTGTAGTTTTAAATAAGAAAAATACCAATATACTTCACTGAAATGTGCATAGATGAATACAAGTTTCCTGTCTGACATACAAATGGCACTCCAGTTGTGCTACAAGCATTAAGGTACTTGATTTGGAACGCTGTTTTTATAAATCGGTCTTGCTCAAATGCAGAGAACTTGCTTCAGAACAAATTTGTAATGAAATTTAGGTACACTTTATCAATGAGGCCCCAGGAGTGAAGTCTTCAGTGTCTATTTTGCAGTGTCTGTTGCAGTTTTGGCATATTTTGAATAAACAATAGCCCTTTCAGAATGCTAAGTAAAAATGAAATAAAAATCTAGCTGACCCACAGATTTATGGAGATTTTTATAATATGGCCCTTTTAGTGGTTGAGTTTTGACACCCCTGGGCTAGAGGGGAGTTTCAGGCCAGACTACTCTGAACGCAATACATTGTAAAAAATAGTAGAAGTAGTGTGATGGCTACAGAAAACGCTTGAAAGATGGTGGTGACATCACTGGATTAAAAGGTGGGTGTCATTACTCAGTAAAGAAGCACATAATGCAAAATACTACTTACCTTAGCTTCAGACTACTTAACCAAAGTTAGTTAACAATGTACATAAAAGGCATAGAAATGACAAATATCCCCCCACAAAATAGTGACATTCTGTACATTTTCCCTATATTTATCTCATATTTGTCCTACATTACACTCTTCTTTAAGCCTTAGTGTTTGACTACAGAGGAAAACCAAAAAGATTTCAGATGTCTGGACTTATCTGACCCACAGTTGGCAGCACCACACATTCATACCAATGCACACATTTTTTAATAAACATTTTATTCCAAAATGTGGTCATTAACAAAGGAAAGATATGATTGTAAAAATGAAAGTTTAAATGTGTTAATGCTTTGTGCAGTGTTAAGCTGATTTGTTTGCAAACTTTAATTATTTTGCAATAAAAGTGGGAAGCACAGCAACATCATGGCTGTTTTAGCACCAAACAAATAATGACAACATTACAAAACTCAAAGGATTTATAGTACAAGGCTGGATCTCTTGGTCATCCAGCAGGTCAGGTAAAAGATGAACCCAATAGGTCTTGTCTCAACTCATCAATACCTAAAACTGAACTCTAAATTAGCTTGTTATTCACAGTAGTTATGCAGGGATTCGGAGTAGATTGACACTTAACCAAACCTGTGTATTGCCACCTACTCTCCTTACAGTAGTTGTGTTAGATATTTTTCCATTTAAAGTTATGAAATTCAAAATGAAAGGATTTATTAAAGCATCACTAGGGCAAAACTATGGGTAACATTTTCGGCCGCATATAAAAAGCATTCATTACTAGTGCCCAAGCTTCAATACACTTTCAGGAATACACGGGGCATTTTAAAACATTCAGTCAGCAGTAATTCTCAGCAATTTTGTGAATACTGACCCCGGCATCCACAACTGAGCACTTAAGAGATTTACGCTCTCCTCCTAGTGTGTCGGCCCATTTGCCAATGCTGCATAGTTGCCAGCTTGAAATGGTACAGAACATCTTATGTCTCTGAGGAAATGTACACTTTCTTTGCACACTCTGACCAGTAGTACTGCAAAAGAAATGTGACAAATTGGCTATAGCAGTTGACAACTTTTTTGGACAGAAGAATACATAAGAAAAAAAATATCAAATTCTTCTAATATGCCTTATAATCAGAAGTCAACCAATAACTTTGAACACAGTCTAACAAAAAAGTACAAACTAATCTATTAACCGTAACTACCTTTCTGGTGCTCCCTGCTCTTAAATGTAAAATATATCAAAAAACAGAATACAGATATAGGAAGTTACCTCTATGATGATTTTTTTAGCTAATATGAGCTAAAAAATCTAAACTGATTCAGAAAAGGAAAGAAAAACAAACAAAACAAAAAAAAACACCCCTGTTCTTAAGACGCTCATCACTGAGATCCCATACCAGAGGGATCAAGCACTACACAGCCAGGTGCAGGGTAATGGGGCAGTGGTCACTTCCCATGGCAGTGTTACGAATCTTGCTATCACACAAACCTGGGACCAAGGCAGCCGACAGCACAAAGTAGTCCAGCCTCCAACCCACATTCTTGGACCGAGCATTCATCATGTAGGTCCAGAAGGTGTAGGCACTGGTCTGCTCAGGATACAGCTCCCGGAAGCTATCGGTGAAGCCAGCAGCCAGGAGCTGGCTAAAGCCCTCACGCTCTTCAGGAGTGAAGCCAGCATTCTTGCGGTTGCCTTTTGGGTTCTTCAGGTCAATCTCCTGATGTGCCACGTTAAGGTCTCCACAGAGCACCAGGGACTTACGCTTGTCCAGATCGCTTAGGTAGGCGCGGAAGTCCACATCCCAGGTCTTGCGGTAATCGAGGCGCACCAACCCACGCCCAGCATTGGGCACGTAGGCTGTGACCAGAAAGAAGGAGGGGAACTCAGCAGTGATCACTCTGCCCTCTTTGTCATGCTCCTCTTTACCTGCAGTGAAGAAAAGAGGAAAGGAATGTCCGAGTGAGAAAAGGTCTGATAAAAACTATGATTATTTCTGCAAACAGCTAATGTCCATGTTTAAAATTCTGGATTTACCCTCATACTTCAGAAACTGTGCTGATGCGGTCAACTTCTAAAACAGAGAGTTGACTATCTGCTTTAACAGTTTTCTGCAAGCCCACTAGTGGCCAGCAGGATGAAAATAGACTCTAGTCTATTGTTAGCTAATATAATCAGATTATTTTTCCCCCTGAAACTTACCAGACTAACTAGGACACTGTTGGCTATCTGTGTGTGTGAGATGTTGTGACTCTAGGTAGCTAGCGAACATCAAGCAGTGAAAGGGGAGGTGTTAGAATCCCTTGCTGTAATAAAAGAATTCACACCACAAAGACAGCCATGCAGTAATTAAATGGACGGCACCGCTGCAGATTTCTTGATATCAGAAAATTGCAACGAACACAATAAAAATAGCATTTAAACACAACATATCACTAATGTTTACTTGTTTGTTTGCCTTCTAAGCTTGGGCAATAATTTAAAATTAAACGAACTTCAGTTATGAAGTGAAACATGTAAGCGTTACAGAGTCTTTCCTTATAGCTTGCATTTTTAATTGTTAGTAATATAATAACTTTGATAGCTTCTAATACTATAAACTAATACATTACAATAGTATTCTGACATACACCATGTAACTCACAACATCCACTGATTCTCCGTGCTTGTTTGTTTGGTAACCAAATATTGCCAAACTGGTGTGTTAGCACTCTTCTGCAGGACAGGATAGTCCATTTACTCTTTTACTGGACAGTATACCTCTTGTACCGTAGTTTTTTGTTTCACATACATGCTCCTCTGCATTCTTTGCCAAAATCCATTATTATCTTTCCAAGTGGCATTCAAAGTATGTGTGTGTACTTAACTAGTTGATGTTCTCTTTGTATAGTCTATAAATAAGTGCAATCTTTTGTATTGTACACAATCTTTGAATGGTAATGACAATCATGTACAAAAGGAATGACAACAAAAAAAAAAAAGTGAAGCTTGACACACAAAAAAACATGGCATATGAAAAAAAGATAATTTGCATATCAGCACCTATTTAAACTGTCATAATATTCAATACTTAATCAATTATCTGCCCAAAGCTATCACAAATAAAGATCGTGTTTGCTTCCGTTTTTGTGAATCACACATATATTCCTAAAAAATATTATTGTTATTGAAGAAAAACATAGTTCAAAAACTGAGGGACTTCCAACAACTGGCAAAAATGCTTTTTATGGCTACTGTGAACAAGGGTTAAAAAAAAATTATTATTTTAATCTCAAGATTCTTTACAGTGGTTTATCGTGTAAAGTACTGCATGGAGACGCTTCACCCACAAGCCTATGTCTTCAGAATTTCCAATATGAAACTCTTCATTTTAATGAACTAATCCCAAGAGTAAACCATTTTGAATCTGAACCATCTGAATAAAGTAATTTACACCTCTTACATTGTTTTATTAGTTACTTAATGTAGCATAAATTAATATTTGCGATATATATTAAGTTAATCTGTATGGCTGTGTTAGGTGAGAGACTTCTATTTCAATAAAGATCAGAGCGGTTCACAAAGGCATCGACAGCACTCACCAATGCCATACGTGACTTTAATTGGCTCAGTCTTGCACAGCATGGCCACCCCACTGTAGCCCTCTTTATCTTCTGAACCTGCCCAGTACTTATGAGGATACTCAGGCATAGAGGTGATTTCTGCTGGCAGGGCTTTCTCAGCACACTTAGTTTCCTGAAGACAGAGCACATCTGGAGCCTCCTGTCGCACCCACTGTAGGGAGCGACAAATAGATGGTTATTTATAATAACTGTTTCTCTGAACCATTGACATACCAGAGTTTACATTAAGCAGTCAAACGTTTTTTTCATTAAACTCACATCGAGCCCATTCTTCTTAACCCAAGCACGAAGGCCATCCACATTCCAGGAGGTTATCTTCATGTTGGCTGCCCGGCCATCCTTGCTGGTCAACTTATCTGGAGGATCTTCATACAAAACTGGGGCCTCTGGTTCCTTTGTCTTCTTCCCTTTCTTTGCTGCTGGTTCTACAATTCGAAAAGAAAACAAGCCAATATGGCAAATTAAGCATTTGCTTTAATTCTCAAGAGAACATACACATTTAAAAAGATGGTTCGTCAAGGGTCCTTTACTAAAGGCAACGGTTCCATAAATTCTATATAGAGCCATTTTATGCATAAATGGTTCTTTGAATGATGGAATCGTTCTTCAGATTGATGGACAATGTGTTGTATACAGATCTTTATAGAACCTTCTTGAGAATGGTTCTATATAGAACCAAAAAGGGTTCTGCTATTGTTACGATGACAAGCTTTTTCAAAAAAATGCAAAGACCCTTTTAAGCATGAAAGGGTTCTATAGAACTCATAGCTATAAACAGAGCAATTCTTCTTACCAAAGAACCCTTAAAGAACCATTTTAAGCATGTATATTTACATCAGTCATGGCTAAGACTGTTTGTTTACCTGTTCCATTGTCGTTGCCTCCATCTGCAGAAGCCTGTTCGTTCTTCTTGGCCCTCTTCGACATGTTTCTGACTCCTCTGACGCTGAACACAACACGAACACACAGATACGCGCGGGCACCTGCGAGAAAAGAGGAGACAACTGGTGTCGTGATTTCTGGACTCCACACCATTTTCAGTTAAAACGAACTGGTAGAAAATTCACTTATTTTGCACCATCAAACCTGCAACCTGCAAACACTACTAACATACCAAGCATGACTTAACGGAGATATATATTATAACAATAACGGTCCTGTTTCTAATGTTTTGCGTTTTTATCCATTACATTTTACTGAATTTCAATGCACTTGGACAAAGCAGCTTTTCCCTCCCAAAGGCCAGACTGCACCGGCGGGACAAACACTAACATCCCAGTGTCTGCAGTTTTCCTAAAAACGTTCAGAAGATGAACCTACAGGCTGAGTGGTCTACAGTGGGAGGGCGGAGAACGATCTAGAATCTTTACACAGACACGGCTAACGGCTGAGTGTGTCCCGGCGGTGTAGCGCTACTCGGGCCTTAACAGACAATAAACTTCATTAGCAGACCAGCTTCCCAGCTCCTTAGCACTGAGCTAACAACTCAACTCGCCCACAGAAACAGAAAGAAGTCGAGAAGCTACACCGTCCAACATTAGAGAACCACACACTGAGCCTTTCAGCGGCTGCGGTAAATAACTGCACATTTTCATCTGGAAAAAACAGAAAACCCGTCGTACCGAACAGATCCACAGTTCAGAGCTGAGAGACCCAGTTCAGCTCAGTTCAGCAGCTCCGTGACAAAAGAGCTGCACATGTTCCTCAACACAGAGCTGACCAAACACCGCCTGAAAATAAAAATAACATTTACACTCAAACATAAACGGACAACCTGGGCACTTATTCTGAAACTCTGAGGACTCCTCATAAATACGACATGGCGGAATCTGTTATAATGTGTGTGGAATGAACGTAGGAAAACATTATGTGTGGGAAATTGTGAGGACGCCTATCTAAGGCAGGGGCTGAAACTGTTGTTATGGTCCTTCGACACGAGACCTGCAGTTAGAAGTGAGCGGCTAAACTGGTACATTGAAACACTTCTGCTGCAGCTTTATTGAATGTGTGATATGTTCTGTGTTATGTTTTTTTCTGCTGGCTGCGTTGGGTGGTCAGATTAGCAGCTACGTTAACGTTCGTGTTGAGTTGTTTCACATCACAGTGCGGGAGTAACTAACTGTCACTGTAACTTCGTGTAGTGAATGAGCAGCACGACTAACTTACTCTTTACTCAGCATTTAGCCGTCATGTAAAGCGATGTCATGATTTCAGATGATTCGCCTGTGCTTATTTCTGTCGACGGCTTCAGGAAAGGGCTTCACTCGGAGCTGGGCGATATGACGATATTTATCGTTATCGTGATAGTTTTGATAGAATATTTTAAGTGTGGCACTGGTTTGTTTTAACTTACCAGATGTCAGAAAAAAAAATAAATATCATCACATATTGTGAGACTTTCTGGAGTATTGTGATATTACATTTTTGCCACGTCACCCAGCTCTTGTTTCACTCGTGGAGAATAGCTAGAATATCAGCCAGGGTTTGAGGTCATGCACAATTTGTAAAGTTAAAGGGGATCTCTGGCCAAAATTTAAAAAAGTGTAACCATCCCTAAAGCTGCTGTAAACATGCCTGCTCACCTTCTACAGTGGTGCCACAATAATCACAAAGGTGAAATTGTCCGGTTTAAAGAGCAGGAACACCCCCTTCGTATGATGTATTTTGAAGGTGGGAGGAAGGCTTTGAGGCAGATACATGAGGGCGAGGTCTTTGATTTATTTATTTATTATTTTTTTTGTCTTTTGTTTTGAGTTAATACGAAAGAAGCCAACACAGCTAACGTTACTGTTATGAATTGAATATGACATGAGTACTAGCCTATGTGGCTACATTAGCAGTATGGATTTCTTATCACCCTGGGTGGGATTCCCAATGGTTGTATGGTGTATATGCACAATGTATACTTAGTATTGTAGTGAGAGAACGCTGACAGACAAAAACATGAATATGATACATATTAAATGCTATTTGTAGGCAGGAGTGACCTTTAACGGCAAACAGTGACACCAACATAATATAAAAACTACAACCTGATTAATATAAACAGTTGTCCTATGATCAGAGACTGACCATTAAGGGCGTAGAGGCGGATGGATTGTGCATGATAACAGGTGGACTACAGTTTTATGTATATACTATTAATTGCGGATTCTTGCAGATAACACAGAACAGTGTTGCTACGCATTGTATTCACCAAACTTGTAAATGAAAGCTGTATGTTTGTAGATTAATCATTTCAGTTCTGTCTCAACAGCAGTCATGACTGTGGTCATTGGGTTTGAGGGCAGTGCCAATAAGATTGGTATAGGCATTGTGAGGGATGGAGAAGTCCTCTCAAACCCTAGACGTACCTATATCACTCCACCTGGTCAAGGTAAGATGGGATGACAAGTTTATCACATTCTTGCTACATAGTAATTATTGACTATCATCACCAGGTGAATTATATGTTTAGTGGTGAAAATAGTGGTTTTTATGGACATCTGATTTGGTTACTCTATAAATAGAGTACTTGATACTTTACATTTCTTTTTAGGTTTTCTTCCTAGTGAAACAGCTAAACATCATCGTGGTGCTATTCTAACTGTCCTCCGAGAGGCCCTAGATGAAGCTGGATTGAAACCTGCTGATATTGACTGTGTAGCGTACACCAAAGGTGAACTTCAAAAATATTTTTTAAGCTGAACTATGGAGGTGTGGAAAAATATCCCTGCGGATTTCTATGAAAATCTGAAAGCAAGTCTCCCAAAAGAGACTAAAGCTGTAATAAAGGCAAAGTGGACACTAAAATCTAGTTGTAGCGGACTCTGTATAATTTTCTGTTACATTTGTTATCAGATTTTTTTTTTCCTGACACTGACAAATGAGTGATTTGGCCATTCTGATGGGAAATTAAATTAATGAAGCACTGAAAAGAATGTCTTGATAAAACTCTCAATTGGGAATTGTTGCCATAAAACATTTTTTCATTATTTTCATTATATCTGCATTTATTGGAAATATTTTTGCATTATGTCTATAGATAAGCATTAATTTTACAGCTCATAGAGGGAGTACTAATATGAAACTGTGTATAGAAGCTGTATAGGTCTGTAATATGTTCATCTATGAGTAAAGCTGACACATTTGTTTTCACACATTGTTTTCTTGTTGTCTTCCACCTTCCTGATGTCATCTGATTTCCAGGGCCAGGGATGGGAGCTCCTCTGGTCACAGTGGCCCTGGTGGCCAGGACAGTTGCTCAGCTGTGGGGAAAACCATTGGTGGGTGTAAACCACTGCATCGGGCACATTGAAATGGGCCGACTGATCACTGGTGCTAACAACCCTACTGTACTATACGTCAGTGGTGGCAACACTCAGGTGGATGCTTCATTTTGTCTCCAAGTTCCCCAACCTTGTTCAGTTCTCTTTTTATTATTATTTGTGATTAGAAGTAGCTGGCCAGCTCATGCCTGACCATAAAACAGTATTTACTTCCAGTATTGTCATATCTGTCTCCCAGTCAAAACTTTCACTGAAATGTTAAGGTTAAGTTGTGTTTTACCTCATCCTATAGGTGATTGCTTACTCTGAAAGGCGCTACAGAATTTTTGGTGAAACAATAGACATCGCTGTGGGAAACTGCCTGGACCGCTTTGCCAGAGTCATCAAGGTAGGTATTCTTCTTTCCTTTGATTTTTTTTGCAAAGTTAAGTAGTTTTAAAAATTGTGACTAGGATTGCACTTTTCACATGTTTTCCACAGATATCTAATGACCCCAGTCCAGGCTACAACATTGAACAGATGGCAAAGAAGTAAGTATTCATATCCTGCCCTTTTTGCCAGAGTTTCAGGTTTCTCTAAAGGTTGTCTTTCTTTTTGGTGTGAAGTTTTTTGAATGCTTTATATTTATTATGATAACTAAAGTCAACAAGAAGCAGAAATCATAACCAGTGGTGTAACTAGGATCTTAGGGGCCCCAGTGTGAAAACATGGGCTCCCATTGGAAAAATTACTTTCAATTAATAAAAAATGCCCACATGAAGAGCTTAACATAGAATTTCCTCAGATGTTTGAGACATTGGCATAGTAGTGTGTATAACTTATAATGTTGTTGTATATTTACAATAATAGAATGAAATAGAACTGGCATGATTTTCAGCCAAGAACCTTTTAATTTTAAGGGTCAGATAAACAAACTGGTGCTGAATGGACTTGTGATAGTTAATTTATAAAGCAGTGCCACCATATTTCAGCTGTGTTTGCAGCTAAATGGTGACATCATAAGTGCAAACCAAAGATGGTGTAGTGCTGAGCTGTACCATGCAGTCTTTTGCAAATAGTGTTTCAGTCAGTGAGGGCTTCTTTAAAACCATTTAGTGAAGTAAAATCTGCACAGAACTTTGGACTGTCATACAGCTACTCAGAGGTAAATAATCACTGATGCTAGAAGGCTCACAACAAGGAAGACTGTGCCTCCCTATTTAGAGTGAATGTGTACTCTGTTTTGTTTGATATTATCATAGATTTTAGTTAAAGGGGAATTGCACCAATTTTTCAAAATTTCTGCCTAATTTTTGGCTGAGATGCAAACAGAGTCATTCAGATAGGGTTGTTGTGAAGTGGTGCATTTTAGAGAAACTTAATCACTTTCTTTTTTTTTTTTTTTACAGTGGTGGTGATAGGAACCAGCAGTCACGATGTCTATAACATAAATATAGTCATTTAATTTACTATCCAAAACCACCACGCTTTAGACCAAAACCTTCTCAAAGCCAATGTAAAACAATCTTTCAGGCATCAGGTAGTGTATTCATAACCATTTCATATAATAGCTTTCTGTTCTGACTCAGAAAGTTTCTCTAGAACAGAGCATTTCCTACCAAACCACTCTGACTTTTTACATCTTAACTATTCAATTTATGCAGAAATCTGTAAACTCTCCTTTAAGGCTGACAGTCATTTCAAAGGTGTGAACCTGAACTTTATTTGAAACACTTCATTTGTGTCTCTTTTTAGGGGCAAGCAGTATGTAGAGCTTCCATACACAGTTAAAGGAATGGACGTTTCTTTCTCTGGGATTTTATCGTACATAGAGGTAATATAACATCAAATCATTACAAAATGTATCAGTAATCATTAATAATGATCACAGTGAAGGAAAAACAGTGTTTTTGCACATATATTTATATATGCCATTATATGTAAAAACTACATGTTGTCCCAATTAAAAAGGAGTTTGAAGGCCATGGACAGGGTAACAGTAGTTTGTCTCTTGTGGCTCTCCAACTGAAATCTAGGAGGCAGCACACAAGATGTTGAGCTCAGGGCAGTGCACAGCAGAAGACCTGTGCTTTTCCCTGCAGGTAAGAAATGAGGTCATCTCCCTAGCAAATAGCTTCTGTAAAATATTGTACTGTATATGTTTGGAGGAATTTAGGAAAAAAAGCCCCTCTCTGCTGTCTCTGTAGGAGACAGTCTTCTCTATGCTGGTGGAGATAACAGAAAGGGCCATGGCTCACTGCGGCTCCCAAGAGGTGCTGATCGTGGGAGGAGTAGGCTGTGAGTGATTGGTTAACCCTACAGGTGGCAATTAGCCATGTGTATCTACAGTCTTACATCTCTATTATACATAATATCACACTCAGACTATAAATAACCCCTTAAACTGCAGACTCACTGTGAAACTAATACTAAAACTAATACCACACACTAATAATTTGATCATTATCTGATTTCAGCAATTATTGGAGTATTCAAGAATTCACATAAACAGCATACTAGAGTATCACATCAGATTAAAGACTTTACCTGGTTCCAAGAAATTTAATAAAACTTCTGGATTTTAGCTGAATGAGCTGGTTATTTAGTGCAAGTGCACTGATAATCTGATATCTTTGGTTTTTCTACATGTGTGAATGTGCACAAACACAACCAGATATAAAATCTCTGTTCTGGAAGCAGCAACAATACACCTGCACCAACATGCCAAAAAATTAGAAATAATAACAAAACAAATATCTTTTTTTAGATTGGATTAGATTAGTTCAACTTTTTTGCTGGGTTTATTGGGGGGATGCAAAGCAGCTGTAGAGGCACATGCATCATATGTTAAGAAAGAAATCTAACAGTTGACTGACTCATATATACTGTGAGTTTTTCTATTATCAGATTATTTATGTAATTATTGGCAAAATCTGTTTTTTTTTCAGAGGTTATATTGTACATATAAAAGTACACACCACAGTGTTTCCTAAGAGTCTAAAAAAAACCTAGGGGACCACTTTGGGGGTGAGGGCATAATATAAATATATGGATATCAGAACTCATTACAATATTACATTGTGAAAATGACCACAATTGAAAAGGAGTGACACTGTGTGCTCTTGTTAATTCATATCAATATAACATATTTACTCATGGGAAATTCTTAAAATGGAATGAAATGGAATTGGATATTGTTCAATAAATTGATTTGAATCCATATTGCACAAATTTAGGGCTGAAAGTATATATATATATATATATATTATTCTGCTTATTGTGATATTTATAAGAGTACACTTTTACAAATTGCAGAAGCTGCAATTTTATATAGAACCTATATTTATAACAACTTTGTTCTAACAGGTTTTAAGTGGGGAAATTTAACCTAATAACATTGAGCTTGTGAACTACCTGTAGGTGAGTTAGACCAATCAAAACAGTTTACAGGATGACACAGCCAAACCTGACTGCCAGTCTGGCACACTTCATTTAGTGTTCAAACCTCAAGCTAAAAAAAGTGGATATTCTGGTCTCCTTGGCCAAAAAAAGCAGACCAAGACCTCAATTTATAGAACACAGTTGCAATTTCAGTTGATTTTTGATCAGTTTAAATCACAATATAAGTGAGAAAAGGCGTGATTAGAAATTTTCCCAAAATGATTTAGCCTTAGACAAAATGTGCTTGGGTGGCAGTCAATATATTTGGCCACCCAAGTATAGCCTCTGTGCGGGAAACACTGCACTGTAACACTGTAAAGAGCGTTTTGGTCTTATTTCTCTCAGCTACTGATAATATGCACCTTTCTACCCTTATTTGATCAGTAACTGAGTTGCTCTGTGCACTCCCACATAGGTAACCTCCGTCTGCAGGAGATGATGGGTGTCATGTGTGAGGAGAGAGGCGCTCGGCTTTTTGCCACAGATGAGAGGCGAGTTAAAGTTTCAGTGCTGCATAAATTCTTCCTTGCATACTGATTCAGCACTCAGCATCTAATACCTAACGCATCCCACATGGCTTAAATTTTGACTTGGTTTCAAGGTTCTGCATTGACAATGGAGCGATGATTGCACAAGCTGGCTGGGAAATGTTCCGTGTGGGTCAAATAACAGAGCTGTCTGACTCCTGGATCACACAGAGGTACAGAACTTCACCACATTCTGCAATCTGCCAAGAATGTTCAGTTTCTGCACTGCTGTTCGAAAGCCTGGAATCACTTGTCATATTCATAGTTTTAGGTTTTCTTTTGTTTGTTAATTTGATAATATCATAATAAAATGTAGTTGTGGGTATTTTTAGATGTTCTATTTAGATGTTCTGTTCTATTTGCATTTGAATCTGTTGCTGTTAACTCTCAATATGTAGTCTAAAGAGCTCTCTCTGCCTGTAAAGCAAGCCATCATTAGGCTGAAAAATCAAAACAAACCCATCAGACAGAGATCAAAAACAATGAGTGTGGCCAAATTAACTGCTGTGTATATTCTCAAGAAGAAAGAATGCACTGGTGAGCTCAGAGACATCAAAAAGTCCGGAAGACCACAAAAAAAACAGCTGTGGTAGATGACAGAAGATTTCTTTCCCAGGTACAAAAAAAAACCCTTCATAACAGTTGGCCAGATCACGAACACCTTCCAGGAGACGGATGTATCTGTGTCAACAATCAAGAGAAGACTTTAAAGACTTTAGTAAATACAGTTTACCACAAGACATAAACAACTGTTAAGCCTCAAAAACAGGAAAACCAGATTAGAGTTTGCCAAAAACCATCTCAGAAACCTGATGAGACAAAGGTCGACATGTACCAGAATGATGGTAAGAGAAGAATTTGGAGAATGGAAGGAACTGCTTATGATCCAAAGCACACCGCATCCTCTGTCATGCATGGTGAATGTAGTGTTATGCCGTCAGCATATATGGCTGTCGGATTAACTGGTCCTCTTGTGTTTTTTTTGATATTGTAACTGCTGACAAAAGCTGCAGGATGAATTCTGCACTGTATGGAGCTTTACTATCTGCTCAGATGCAGCCAAATATTTCAAACTTATATTGGATAGCACTTCATACAAAAAAGTGGAATGTTCAGCAATGGCCAAGTCACATGACCTCAATCCAACTGAGCATGCATTTCAGGGCAAAACTGAAGGTAAAACAGCCTAAGAACAAGCAGGAACTGAAGACAGCTACAATAAAGGCCTGGCAGTGCATCACAAGGAGGGCATTTGTTGATGTCTAGGGTTCCAGACCTCAGGCAGTCATTCACTACAAAGGATTTTCAACCCAGTATTAAAAATTAAAATTTATGATTGTTAAGTTTGTCCAATTACTTTTAAGGCCTCAAAAAATGGAGGGCTATGTATGAAAATGGTTGCAGTTGCTACCTCATTCATCCAGTTTGGGTGTAAATGCTGAAAGTCTGCAATTTGAACTCAAATCCAATATGCTGTAGTGGACAACTAAAATAACAACTTTGTCAAGGTCTGAATATTTATGAGTCTGGCTGAATATAGATCTATAGAAATTTGCACAAAACTAAAAACACAGAAAACTGTTCTTAAGTAAATCTGATGTTATTAACTTGTTTTCAAATAAGAATGATTAAAAGGAAACTCCAAAAGAGGTCACAGTGCTTTTGCTGGCATTTAACTCTTAATCTACAGTAGTCTAGTTATTCACTAAACATCTGTTTTGTTTCTTCACTGACAGGTACAGGACAGATGAAGTAGAAGTTACCTGGAGAGACTGACCTGTTACAAATCCAAATATCTGTTTTGACTTGAAGAGAAACTATGGCAGAAAACAGAACCTCCTGAGGACGCTATGGGTTTTAGTACGGCTACTGTGCTTTTTTTCACCATCCAGACATGCATCCATTCTGAACTGTTCCACCAGTTAACTTGAAGGGGTATTTTGTAACTCACACAGTTGATAGTAAAGTCTTAATTTGAGCAACAACTTTAGCACTTCAGCCATTGCGAAAGGGCTCCTACGGTTGTTTTTTTTAAGTGGTTGGTACAACTCGAGAGTGCCTGCTGTGTGTTTTATAATAAACAGTGTCTTGAAAATATTGCAACATGATATCTGATGCCTCTGGTGAGCATTTTCTGGCTTTGCTCACTCTTTCTTCTTACCAAAGATAACTTTGTATGATCACTCCAACAACAGCCTGGTCACTCTCCATACAACCTTTTTGCTGCATTTAGAGCTAAGAATGTGTTTGGAATGGACACATTTTAAAACCTGGAAGGCTCTGTGTGGTGCTCAGTGTAAAATTAGAAAAGTCCCATCACTTTGACGGTCCAAAATAGCCAGTGAACTCTAATTTATGCTCTCATTAAAAGTGCACAGTGAAAGCATCCTTAAACAGTGACATTGCTTTTAAGCTTTCAAAGACTTATATGTACAGCAGTTGAGTGTAACAACATTTTCTTGCTTTACCATTTCCTCAAAGCTAGAAAGTTCTAGATATTTCTGCCATCAATGCATAAGAAAAGCATTTTAAGAAGCCATTTAGTCCGTTTTGTATAGACTACAGGTGAATTGTAGGAATAGGCTTCTGATGCTTTTCCAGATTCTGTGTGAATAATTTACATTAGGTTTTTTACATTAGAAATGCAAATGTTTATGGGTAATACTTTAAGACTAAAATGTCCTAAATGAGGGATAAACTTGGAACATCTGATGGAGACAATAAAAAATGGTTCTTGAATCTTGCTAACATATTTTCTTACCAGGAGAAACAAATCCCTGTACATGAAATGTACAGCTATTAACAGTGGTTATCATTTCTTGTGACAGTTTACAGTTCTAAATGCAGGTAGATTGCAGAATCTTTATAGACAAAACTGCCAGCTGCATGTTTTGTTGGTGATTATCTTTAGCTGGTTTGAAATTTCTGAGAAGGCAACATACACTTTCATGCACTCTAGATTAATTTGGCAGTGAGCACTCGCATATAGACAGAAAAGCCTTTTTGATGCTTTTAAAACCCACACTGGTTTTGAAATATATTATGAATGCATTATGAATTCCCCATTCATACACGTTTATAGTACTTGCTGTTTTTTTTTGGTAACAGGTCCAAAAAGGGGAAGATAGAACAGGGCCACAGAATATAACCTATAACCAAGGGAAATACTTCCTTTTTTGATTTTACAGGAGTCCTCCGATAAGCAAGGTTTTTCTCCATGCATTTCCAAAAGCTTGCTCACATGGAGGTCAGTATCTTATGGTTGATACAGTAAGACACAGCTGCAGACACTGAACTGGGCTTGGTTTCCCAAAAGCATCTTAGCACAAAGATGATTCTTAAATAGTAGCGAGTATCAGGGGCATTGCTAAGAGTTTTTAGAATGGGTAACCAGGTAAGACCCACAGATTTTATTGGGCTGGCACACTAAGGATCAATCACATTGAACACTCACTCTACCAGTTAGGCTCATCTACGATGCTTTTGAGAACTTTACCTCCTTCACTGTATGCAGCTTAAAAAAGATCTCTGTAATTTTCCCCAAGGTGACTGACTGATAAAGGTGGTTATTTACATAGGACAGAGTAATGCAGTATTATCCAAACATACAGCTTGCTTCTAAAACGGGGGTGTCCGGTCTTATCTGCAAAGGGCCGGTGTGGCTACAGATTTTCATTCCAAGCAAGAGCTCACATGGTCTGCTTTCGAAGACTGAGGCCAACTGAGGTCTGAGGCCGCAACCAGCCCTATGTGGTTAAGACAGGTGACCCCTGATCTAAAATATTCTTAGAGAAGACGACGTAGATTTGAAGTTCTTAAGTTTATTTTCAAGCAAACTAGCTTATTTTTAATTTTCTGGCAACTAGTATAGTGTAATTAAAACAAAATTTACAGATGTGCTTCGACTGTATATCAAGGGAACGCTACAGGAAAATTGGTCTAAGATTACAGTTGCCCTGTGCTCAATTCTAAATTCAACAGATAAATTTACAGAGGACATCTCTACAAAATGCATGGCCAACAACCTCTTGCTCAGCACTGCATCTTGGCAGCACATAAGTGATGTAAACAAGGCCCTCAAAGCCATCGCACTGATGTACCAACGTGAAGTAACTAGACACCAGAAATGTCCACTTACTGACCCCACTTTTTGTTCAGTGTTGCATAGAGCAGGGGTTCCCAATCTCAGTTCTGGGGACAGCATGCTCTGCACATTGTGTTTTCCCTGATAAGAAAGTTATTTTTGGAAGTTCAAACATTACCTGGATTTATTTAAGACGTGCTGACTATAACTTACGTATTTAGCATTTTACACAACGTGAAGAACTCAAAAACTAGAACACTTACAGAATTTACATGAATACTTTTGAACACATAATAAAGGACTTTATAAAAACCTTACATAAGAGTTTTTTTTATTATGCAACACTTCAATTAAATCTCAATCTCTTCCAGTGCCCCCTTATCCCCATTATGTTTGACTTTCAAACTAGGGTGAAAAAATATTTTAAAATCAGCACTAAGAACAGACATTAGAACAGGATGCTGACACATCGTGACAGCTGCAGCCATGTAAACGCCATCAGAAAAGTATGCACACGATTGGTGTGGAGACGCTGGGACGACGAAAAAAGAAAACACAAAAATATGAAGGTAATGATTCAAAAGGATGGTCCAAACAGACATACATGTTCAACGGGAGTACGAAAGTGCTTGAAAGGCGACTTGTACATTAATTAGGATTTTTTTTTCCTCAAATTTCAAGTAAAATTTCAGCTCTTTACAATAAAATTGCCAGATCTTTGCTCAAATATGATCAAAAAAAAAGGAAACAGGGTGTTTACCATGATAAAACAAAATGTGGGGTGAGGTCTCCACACCAAAGGCTTGATTTTAAGGCAACCATGCATTCGAGACATCATTTCTTTCTTTACATGGGTGGAGAGTTCAGGGTGGAGGTGAGTGCAATGAGTAGACTGTGTGGGAAGAACAACCTGAGTGTCATTTAAGTTTGCTAAGAAAGAATATATGTATGGAGTGGAGTGTGTGTGTGGCGGTTGATCAGTTGCAGGTGCGTGCTGGGTACACCACTACAAGGAGTCCTTGTACCAAACAACCTTTGCAGGATCTGAAAAGTCAAAGACAAATCTGTGAGAAGCATCATCACAATTTTGATAAGGACACAAAGTCAGAAAGGTATTTCGGAACAAAAGTGAAGCCCAGCTATGGATTTTCTAAAAAGCCTAAGATGAGGTTTTACTCCCCAATAAACTTCTTAAAGCAGAGCCTTTAGTGCCAGAACTAGTGCTCAGAAGAACATACTGAAAAGCTCTGGGGTCGTATCACAGAAACATCCCAACTCTGAAATCTTCTGTTTAGTCACCATGATAATTTCAGTTACGACTGAATTTTGGACAAAATAGCTTTTCCGAACTCACAATCTTATTATAACTCCAGATAGGGAAACAGTATTACAGAAACATAATTATGCTAAATTTCATAAATACTGTCATATCTTTAGGAATTACCCAAAGATGTCTTAACCTTTGTTTGCCCATGTTGTACTGCCCATGTCTATCATTTTATACAGTGACAGGCAGCATAGTTCACTATAACTGGAATCGCTTTTATTTATATTGCACAATGGTGCTTTTACTTTAAATTGTTTTTTTGTAACTATGCGTTTTAAAAATCCCAGACACTGCTCCATCTCCACCTCTTATTATTTTGGTGTGTTAATGTTGATTATTCGTCAACATATTACAGCCTTGGTAGAGAATAATGAGGAGACTGAGCTAAATGTGTGGCTGATAGGAGGAATAACGTTAGTGCAGCACGCACATTGGCTAAAGCTGAGGGAAACCGAAACTGAGGTGCAGCGAAGCCCCATTAAACTGCAGGGGGTTAGTTATAGTCATATATATATGTTACACTCATAACTTAGTTTGTCACACTTTTGTTTTGACCTTTTTACATCGTAATGGTAGCTGAATAGCTAACTTACATTTTTAAAAAAGTATTCTGATAACGTGTTTATGTTTCAGCTCTGTGCATTGTTGGTTGACTGGTAACAGACATGACAGTTTGTTGTTGACTTTGGTCGCATAGTTTAGGATTTACTTACCTGACATAAGATACTTTAAAATAAGTCAAAATTCTTAAATTAAAGTAAGATTTGCTTCTCTAATAAAGATTTTTCACAAATTTGATCTTGACCTGTCAGATCTGAACGGACAAAAGATAGGAAGTTTCTGTGATACGGCCCCTGAACTGTTTCTTAATTGTAGTGCTGGTAAATAATGAAGATAAAATCTTGAATCTGGCTTACAATGGTGCGGAATGTATAGACAATTATTGTGAATACATCTAATGCAAACCAAAACTGCTGGGACTTTAAAGGGGCAAAACGGCTCTGTACTCACCCTTCAATGCCAATAAAGTGGCTATTTCTGAAGTTTTATCTACTCTTTTCAGTTAGCAATGCAAACTCTGAAAGCTATTGTTGTGTTTATTTGCTATGCAAAGAACATGATCTAACACTGTCACAAACTACCATTTTGAACAAGAAAATATGAACAATTCACACATCAGTTGTAGTTTTTGTTACTCTGATTTAACAAATCAATAATAGATAAAATAAATTCTCACCTTGTTTCTGTTCCCGCAGTATTGCACTCCATTCTAAGGATAAAAGGAAAAATACATTAAAACACTAGCAGGATGACATTCTTTTAACTGAAAAAAAGCACACAACGAATCCTTAAAGCAAATGTATTAGGGTTGTAACAATACATCATGTTAACACTTTGTATGACTTGCGAGTTAGCTTGGGACTAACATATAGGCTTCTGGCTAGAGCATAATATTGTTGGGACAATATAAAGCACAACTTTTGTACTTTAATAATGTTGAATTCTGTGATAAAAATGTAAACATTTACATTTTACTGCAAGGCATCTTTTCAGTTAGGGCTCATGTCTGCTGTATCAATCAATATTGTACAATACTGTAACACATTCCATCAAATAATAAACTCTGTAAACTATTACACCTCTAAACTTTATACTAAGAGCAATCTCACCTTGCGTATGATACTCCAAAGCCTCCCCTAGATGGTGACAGCTAAGCAGCAGCTCCTCAGAATTCTCAGGTCCTTTTGAGCACTGGCTGTGTGAAGATGTAGAGAACGAGAGGGCTAAGTTTCCATCAGTCACCTCTCCAGCTACAGGGTGTGCGGTTGCAGCTGGACTCGTCACTGGTGTAGCCTGAGGCGCAACTGAAGCTGCGTTTTCTACTGCTGGGCCGTCGTTGATGAAACTAAGCCCCCACTGGTTCTGCAAAAGCACCTTGATACCTGGTGGTTCTTCGGCAACGCCTCCAGTAGTTCCACCTGCCTTAACTTTAGAGGCATAGCTGACGGCAGGCTGCAGCTTGGCAGGGCTGTCCTTCACTGGGAAGGCTGGCGGGGGTTTGAGAGATGACAATGTGTCCCCCACCCACCGTTCCTTCTGTATGTGGGCCTGAGTGGATCGGAGGGCTTTTTCCCCAGCACGAGCGCCCAGACTGACTCCCTCTTGTCGAGAGCCCCTGTAACCCCTGTTGTGTGCCCGCTGCTCCCTGTGCAAACTGGAGGTGAAGACTTGTGTGTGGCCAGTTCTGTGTGTGCCGCTTTCATTGGAACTGGTTGATGAAGTCTGACGAGTGGACTGTTTGTCCACTCCTGTGGCACACCCTCCTCCTCCACCCCCACCACAGCTGCCAGAGCCAGGGGAGAGGCGGCGGTTCCGGATGTGTGGCTCCGGTTTGGGGGCTGAGACAAGGACAGCAGGGTCGCACAAGGGGTCAGATTCACACACAGCATTATTCGCCTCCCAGGTACCTGACCCCCAAAAAATAAATGCAGAAATAACATCTTTTAGTTCCAATATTCAATCATCACAACTGAACCAACATGCAAGGTATGCATTTGAAATCGGTTTTCATTGTACAGCCCTCTTACCAAACCAGACCTGAACAAGTGTGGCTGCTCACTTCTGAGTGAACATGGAAATGCAGTCTTGCAGGTTTGTTAGGGGGCAGCACACGAACTAAACGACTATGAAGCAGCATGTGCTGGAGGTTCAGTAGAGCAAGTGCATCACGTATTTAAGCTGCATCCTGAAGAGGTCGTTCAAAAAACATACTTTTTTTGTATGTTAGTCCAGTAAAATCGATGTTTGAGTTTTTAATCCTACTAATTGCTCTGCATGTACTGAACTCACTTATACTACCAGTTGGAGATAAGAGGGTGCATTCAAGAAACAAAATGTCACTCACATGCACATTATTAACCCATAGCATTTATTTTGGCATCATTAAATGTGTGCATGCTGCACAAAATGAGCGCTCAGGCCTACAGTATCATTATTACAACGTCCCTGATTAACAACATCCAACAGAAATGTCTGCATAAACGTATCCTTTCATTATTCGACATCATTTCTTATGTATCACTGTTTCATACTAAAAAATGAACATTTATGTAAATTTCTACACACAAAGAGCAGTAAGAAACTGCATGGTGTAGTTTAATTCAGCATGCAATACGGCGGGAAGGCACAGACTAAACTCCGACTGTCTGCAGCTTACGCAGCGCTGGATATTCAACTACAAATTTCCTGAAGACACACCGGAGATATACTATATTATTCGTTTAAACCTATTCCTTCCTTAGAACGGCAAAAATCAAGCGCTTCAGTCCAGCTTGTTCACTCGTCTTCAGCGTGTCCGTTTTGAATTTGTCACAGGAAGGAATAAGTTAACCCAACACCGCCGAGACGCTGAAATTTAAACTGGGCTAACGTTAGCTAGCTAGCTAAGCTAGTCACGTTACCTAGCTAGCAAAGTTCGACTAGAAGCGCAGATCAGTCGCTAAACAGACTGGTTAATATCGCAAAGTGAGTCGTAATTAAAACTTAATACGACTATGTTGTGCAAAAGTACTTTATCTATTTTCTTAACGACTGTAGCAAAGTGAGCTAACGACTCACGCTGTAGCTCGACAACGTTAGCTCGACAACCTAGAGGGAAACTAACTCGTCATCTGTGCTACTCTGTCAGGTCTTTGAAAATGAAAAACAGAGGTGTTTAGGTAACGTTATCAGCGTTTGGTCCAGGTTAGTGTTAAAATGTAGCTCGGCGTTTAAAGGAGTCGCAGGCTTTCGTAAGAAAGTTTCATAAGACTCGGGCTCATTCCGGGCGTGTTGTTGACTCGATCAGCTCGAACTCCCAAACAGCTAAGCAGATCATCGGACCTACAAACAGAGCCGCCTACAAACACCACGTTCAAAATAATCACCTCACCTGTTTTGATATGCATGTCGATGCGTTAAATTTCCAACTAATTCGACTGTTTAAGAAGGTTTTTGAAGCAGGACGGCGTGTTGGTCGATTCACTCGCACGGAGGCAACGGGCTAACCGGGTGGAAGTAGTTTCTCGTAAGTTCCGCAAGTGGAGGCGCGAAGAGGGGCGGGATGTGCTGCCAAAGTCCTTATAGGTGAGTCTGTTCACTCAGTGTCAGCCTTTGCAGCGCCACCAGGCAGCCGTTTCCAGCCAGACTCCTTTCTCCTTGAATGTAGAGAGACCAAAAACTGAAGCTCAAATTGCCGTTTAAAGATATTTTTGAAATCGCTGATAAAATCCGACAAAAACTCATAAACAGTTTGCAACGTTTGGCTCTAATAATGCACAAAAACGTGTTTTTCGGGTGGTTCTGGCTACTGCGCTAGCGGCGTAACCAGCGAGCTGATGGGCTATTTTTCGCGAAGGGCGGGACTTTCTCCGCAGACAGACGCCATGTTCAGCGCTGCGAGAGCTCCCATTCATATTTAAACCGGTGACCAGTCTCCGCATTTATAACGGCTCTGGTGCTCCTTCATCAGCGCCTCGAGTTAACTGCCTCGTTCTGAGTTTTCATGTGAAGGACTGAAGGGAAATTTCCTCCATTTTTCAAAATGTTTTTTTCATAATTACATTTTTAAAATATAAACGAAGTTATTCCGAGTGTTTGACGGGAAATGCTGTGTTCCAGAAAATGAAGTCAGAATTGTTCGCAGTGGTGGTGACAGGAACCGTCTGAAGAGTTTAATGGCTCTAAAGCTCACTCACGGGGAGTTATACAAAATGGCTCTGAATGTACTGCCTGATGCCCGTGACATTGTTGTATGATAGTTTTGAGGTTTTGGCCTCATATTTTTAAAATACATTTAAAATGACAAACATATTTTTAAAATACATTCATGATGGAGAGGTACATGCAGAGCTTTGTAAGGCAAAATAACACTTTTTTACCATCATCAGCATAAAAACATAAAAATTCAGAAGATATGCAGAGGTTCACTGATCATTTCAGATAGTGAATGAAATGGCTATATTTGTGTTGTAGACATCACAATCTTTGGTTCCTATCTCCACTGTAAAGTAAAATTAAGTCTGTCAGCTTGTCTATAATGATGTACCATTCACACCAACACTCTGAATGCTTCTGTTTACATCTCAACATTTGAATTGTGCAGAAATTTGGAAAGATCAGTGGAATTCCTCTTTAGATACTGATCTGCATGTTGTGTTGACAGAGAAATGTTCAGTAAGATAGTGAATAATGTTAGGCTGTGCTTATTGGACCTTGCAATATCGTTATTAAGATATGTTGCTAAAATATGTATAATAGCATGCAGATCAGACTATGAATTTCAGTGACACAATAGAAAGGAAAGTTAGAAGGCACATGACATCATTCCTGCCAATAATTTTGACATATACAGCATTAGATATCATGACAATATGATTCCTCTAATTTTAGGCACACTTTGTTCACTTAGTTTTATGTGTACATTGTTGACTATTGCCTCCTAACTTTCATCCCCCCACTGGTCAACCAAATTTGCGCTCCTGAACCAGTACAATACAAACCTGGTGATTCACGCTATCATTCATATTGCAAAAATGCCAGCAAATCTGTGAGAGAAAATATTTCTCCAATTACCAATTATTTTTTGTTAAATTCAGCAAATAACTAGAAACTGGCTGGCAGTAAATTATGCAAAAGCCATATTTCACCTGTAGTGTGTGTTATAGTCATGTCAAAATTAATTATGACTTTTTCCAACACAGATGTTGGAAAGAAGTTAAATGTGTTTTTTCTTACCTTTTAGATTGTCCTGATCACTTCTTCCAAATCTATCAAAATGATCATGTGTCGTCCTTGTTATTTGCCGTTGATCTCGGCTTCTCTCTTTTCTCAGCAGTGCATTCATGTTTTGAGTCCTTTTTTATCTGATTTGTTTCTGCACCTTTTACTTTGTTTGAGCTGATTCGCACCTCTTCATTACTCCATGTGCTGTGTATGCATTCTTGGTGAGATGCATCCTCCTGTGTGCTATCTGCAGACTTTTTCTTTATTTTGTGCTTTTCTTTCCTCTTTTCCTTTTCTTCCTCCCTTTTTTCTTTTTTCAGGCCAGCCCATTTTTTAATCTTTCTTAATAACTTGTTATTATATTAAATGTTTATGAATACGCTCCCTTATGCCTATTTTATTAACATCACGTCTAAAAGTCAGAAGACACAAGTGTAAAGTGGCTAAATTTGTGTTGAGACATTGTGACCCCTGGTTCCTACCACCACTGTAAAGAAATATGAGTCAGTTAATGACAAAAAACATAGACAGAATTATATTATTTAAATGAAATCATTTAAATGTCATACTAAAAAAGGTGTAACTCACTTGACTGATATGAGTAAAGTTTTGTAAATAATTATAAAGCATAGTTATAGTCATGCATCCTGTAAAGGTATTTTCTTAAACAGTCAGAATCTTCATTAATATTACAGAACAAATTGCATCTAGCAACACGTCAAACACATTATTTCTATGCTGAAGAGCAACTCCTTCTAGGTTCGTCAGGCATCTACCTAGGAAGGGCCTGAATGAAGTGGTGTCTAAACAGATAAGATTTCAGATTTAGGATGTTTCTGTAACATGTTCCCTGGGCCTGTATGTCCCAATCAGCCAGTAAGTTTTCATGAACAGAGCTGAAAGTCTTTGTTCTTTTGATCTCGCTGTAATACTGGATTCAGTTACTGGAATGATAAACTGACTCTTAGTTTTGGTAAATATAGAGATGAAATATAGAGGTAAACCATCGTTTTGCAGTTGCCCTTTATCTCACTGTCTCTTTATGTCTCTCTCTCTCTCTCTCTCTCTCTCTCTCTCTCTCTCTATATATATATATATATATATATATATATATATATATATATATATATATTAGTTAAATCTATTTAAATAAAAAAAATATTTCATATTTAAGACATAAAACGTTTGGGTTCAAAGTATTTTGGGTTCAGACTCATTTATCATCATGCCCTACATGTGCCAACCTACCCCGAACACATCAGGACATAACTGTATTTCTTTTTATGTTAGTTTGCTAGCATTACTTACTGTAGACTTCCAAATCATATATTGAAATATAGCTGATTTTATTCATTTCTATTGAGTAAAATACTGTGCTGCTGCCTAGGTTCAAAACATCTTGCTAGAATTTGCTTTAGCATAGCAAAAATGTTCGTAACAAAGAGAAACGTATGTTAAAGACGAAAAGAACTGACGACAGTTTGACAACATGTATGAGAAAATAAAAAGGGGTTACAGTGGTCAATGGCAAGTAAAAAACACAACTACATTTAGCAGGTTTTGCCTTTTTCCCCCACAACACATTGAGCCTGCTGTGTGAAATGTAACTCATGATGATACAACTCCATTAAAAACACTCTAGCAACCACCTGGGATACCATCCCAACCACCTAGCAACATCCTAGCAACCACCTGGGATATGGTTGCAAGGAACAATGAATATGCTTTTTACAGTGACAGATGTCACTGACAGATGTCATAAATGCCCCAGTAATCAGTTAACACACAAACACAACTGGTAGATACGATTTGGTGATATGATGATTTTCTGACATTTCACGGTCATGAGGGCGTCTGAACGCAACATTAAAACATGTCCCTATGGCACTATTGTCTATGGCTCGTGTCAGACTCCAGTCCTTACAGGTCACAGTACTGCAGACGTCAGCCTTCTGCCTCATTAAACACAGCTGACTCATGAGATGAGCAACTCATCAGCTAATTAGCAAGGCCTTCATGAATCGAATTCAGAGATGATGTAAAAAAGATTTCAAAGAGCTGTGACTCTGATGTAAGCCAGGTTGACATGCTTGATGTAAGGCAATTCTGCCTTGTTATATGCTATACAGGGAAGAACAATTTAGTTTACTAAATAGCATTTAAAACCATATAAACTAGTACATGAATTTGGACACTTTCTCATCATTATGGTTGCGTAAGTACTCACTAGTCATATGAACAAACCAACGAGAGCTGCTGGAAGAGAGGCTGAGGCTAGCTTCTTATTCAAAGCCATAGTCATAGGCATGATGTTTTATAAAGTGCTAGGGACAGGAGAGAAACAGAAATATAAAATAACTGTGCCATTAACATCTGCAGAAGTAGTTTGCTGCAGATGATGTGTTTACTTCTTTTAACTTAAAAAAAAATCAATACATATGTAATTTGGCCAGGGGTGCCCAGCCTTTAGCATACAGCTGTAAATAGTATCTTGTCATCCAGCTTCTCTACACTCTTGAAAATGAAGGTTCTTCAAGGGTTCTTTAGTAAAGAAAACGGTTCTATGTAGAACCATGACCACTCAAAGAATATCCTGCATGATTAAAGGTTTCTCTGCATCGTGAAAGGGTTCTTCGGACTGATGGAGACTGTGCTATAGATGGTTCTATATAGTTGCCTTTTGAAAAGTGATCTATGTAACACCTAAAAGGTTCTTCTAATGGTACGACATTAAAAGAACCCTTTTTGGTGCTATATAGAACCACATACAACACACCCTCTATCAATATAAAGAACCAAAGAAAAATTTAAGCATGGAATGGTTCTGTATAGAACTCATGGTTCTAAATAGAACCATTGCCTTCACTACAGGACACTGTAAGAGTGTAATTATTTGTGCGTACAGTAGGGGGCAGTGTGCCTCCTGCTTGTTTGTAAATATACCATCAGCCTGCAGAAGAAGGTGGGCATCAGGAGAGAGAAGAGGCTTTTAATGATTTGATTTGTGGTGATATTTTTGACGGCACGGCTCCCTTTTTTGCACGATGTTTCAGCATCCAGTGTTTTTCCAAGACGTGGTCCAGATGCAGTGCAGTATGAAGGAGGAGTGTGAAGAAGTCAGTCTCTCGGAGTGCGGAGTTAGTGGAGTTAATGGAGTTAAAACGGAGGAGTCCGAGACCAGCATAGACGACACGGATGGTGAGCAGCTGAGACCCCCGCAGTGCTCCGCTTCGTTATTATCACTGAATAAATGTTTATAGCAGGTCTCACTGATGACATTTGTATAGGACTGAGTGTTACCGGCCTCGCTGTGAGCTGAGCGACAGCCCAGCCCTCAGTAGCGGAGGAGCGCTGACACCCAGCGAGCCCGTTAGACCTGACCAGAGTCAGCATAAACAGCTCGTTACACACTGCTTTATACTCTCATGAACTAAAGTCCTCCACATACAGCCGTCTAACACTACCCTCGGTTCCAGTACTGGCTTTAAGAGCTCATCTGATGGCAGACAAGTAACGTTAGGCTGTGATGTGCATGATCTGGCCTCTGGGCCTTTAACTCGGACAGCTCATCCAGTGACCAGTGCTGTACTCCAGAAACGAGCAGCCCACACAACATTGTCTTCCTCCATGATTAATTTGCGGTTTATTAAATAACCAGGAATCAGAAATCTCTCACCTTAATCATTTTTTTGGTCTCAGTTAGAGAATAGTTTAATAAATTAGAGTTTATATATATATATATATATAATGCTTCAGGAGACATAAATACACTTAAGAAACGACACTGATGTCTGTGATGGTTGATGCTTGAGATGGGTGGTAGTCTTATATAGGCTGTCAAAGTTTTTTCTGGAGAAAAATGACAATGTCATGTGTGTGTGTGTTCATTTTATCAGCTCCACTTACTATATAGGTGCACTTTGTAGTTCTATAATTACAGACTGTAGTCCGTCTGTTTCTCTGTATACTTTGTTAGCCCCCTTTCACCATGTTCTTCTATGGGCAGGACCACCGCAGAGTAGATATTATGTGGGTGGTGGATCATTCTCAGCACTGTAGTGAGACCGACGTTGTGGTGATGTGTTGCACTGGTACGAGTGGATCAGACACAGCGGCGGGGTCCAATTCTTCAGTGTTGCAGAAGTTTTTAAACACCTCAGTGTCACTGCTGGACTGAGAATAGCCCACCAACCAAAATATCCAACCAACAGCGTCCTGTGACCACTGATGAAGGAACTGATATTGAATATGGGCGTCAGCCTAGTTTAATCCCCATTGAGGAGAAGCGGTATAAAAAGTAGATGCATGATGCTTGTTTTTATTTTTAAGGTTCACTTTCAAACTGGTATAATCCTTCAGTCATTACAACCTATTTCTAAAACAAAGTATGTTTAGGGTATGATTTGTGTAAAATTTAAATGAATCTTAGAAACTGTTTTTAAAATCATGGCACACAGGCAATAGAAGATTGTGGTGAAGTTTAAAGATTTGTGCTTGGATTACGCTGAGCATGTTCACCACTTCACTTGTATTATGATTAGTTTACTGCATTACCCCCTTCTTCTCATCACTTTTCTTAATTGCAATCTCTGTTTTAGGGATTGAAGTGCACGTGAAAGATGAACCAGAAGAGCAAACTTTGTCTGAGGAAACACCACAGTATGCAGAGTTTGGTGAAGAAATAACTAATCAGAGCTTTCAGAGTATCATCTTTTCAGCAAACTTCAGCAGTAACCAAGAGAAGCACACCGACATAAAGTGTTACCCCTGTCCTCATTGTGAGAAAAGTTTCTCTCGACCACAGTTTTTAAAAACTCACCTAAGAACACACACTGGAGAGAAGCCTTACCTCTGCTCAGAGTGTGGGAAGAGCTTTTCCCATCAGGCTTCATTAACAGGTCATCTGAGAACACATACAGGAGAGAAGCCTTATCAGTGCTCTCAGTGTGGAAAGAGTTTTTCCCTTTCAGGCTCATTAAAATTACATGAAAGAATACATACCGGAGAGAAGCCGTACCATTGCTTCCAGTGTGGGAAGAGTTTTTCTAGACAGGAGTTTCTGAAAAAACATCAAAGAATGCATTCAGGAGAGAAGCCGTTTTCTTGTGGTGAGTGTGGGAAACGATTCTCACATCCGAGCTCGTTGAAAGATCACGAGGGACTACACACTGGAGAGAAGCCGTATAGCTGTTCTGACTGCGGAAGGAAATTTTCTCATCCCAGCTCGCTAAAGGTTCACGAGAGGATACATACAGGAGAGAAGCCGTACCACTGCACCCAGTGCGGCAAGAGTTTTTCTCATCTTCCGTCACTGAAAATTCATGTTAGAATTCATACTGGTGAGAAGCCTTACCCGTGCTCTCTATGTGGAAAAAGTTTCTCTCATGCGGGCTTACTGAAAAGTCACCAGAGGATGCACACAGGAGAGAAGCCTTACCACTGCACTCAGTGTGGGAAGAGCTTTTCACAGTCAAGTGCTTTAAAAGTTCACCAGAGAATACATACTGGAGAGAAGCCTTATCAGTGCTCTCAATGTGAGAAGAGCTTTTCTCATCCAGGTTCTTTAAAAGTTCATGAGAGGAAACATACTGGAGAGAGGCCCTTCGAGTGTGATCAGTGTGGGAAGAGTTTTCTCAGGTCAGGGTACTTAAAAGAACATCAGAAAAGACATGAGGCAGTGAAACAAAAGATTTCTATCTAAAGACAGGTTCTTCATACAACTTGTAGAAACATTTATTTATAATCGTCTTGTCTGAAGCCATTTTTTGAAGAATTGAGTTTGCTTGTGGACTGTGTGTCAATTAGAACTGGGTCCTAAAGCATTCAAAATAATTGACAGCAATAATGTATATTGAAGGCTCGTTTCTCTGCTTAGATTTTACATTTTTGTCTTCATAATCACTAACATAAACACTAAATTATGAATTGTGTCTTCTATCATAATGTAATGAATAACATTATGAAAGTGTGTCTAAAAAAATCTACCTTTTATTTTTCAAATGCTGCTGTGTTAATGTTTTCATTAACTAGTCACTCTAGGGATCAGGTAACGTAATGACTGTGTCTGTCAAGTAACAAAATATTACTTTATTAGAAAATAAAAGATCAAATTCTATTAGTTTCTAAATAGTGGGCTTGAAAACATGTTAGATATACAACAGACTTCTGAAAAAATTGGAAACAAATAAACATAGATGAAAAAATACAAAGGCAGGGAGTGTGGTCAGGCACTGGTATTGGGCAATAAGGCCTGTCTCGCAGTTCACTGTAAAGATTTTGAGGTCAGAGCTCTGTGCGGGCCAGTCAAGTTCTTCCACACCAAACTTTGACAAACCATGCCTCACTTTGTGTATGGGGGCACTGTTATACTGAAACAGGAAAGGACCTTCTCCAAACTGCTGCCAGAATGGCATTGTATGCTGTAGCATTAAGATTTCAACTTAACTAGAACTAGAAGGGGCTCAAACCATATAGAACACCCAGACCATTATCCCCCCTCCACCAAACTTTACAGTTGCCACTATGTGTTTGGTCAGTTAACATTCTTCTGGCATCAAACACAGATTCATCCGCCAAAATGCCAGATCACTTTAGAGAGTATGTTTTCACTGCTCCAGTGGTGGTGTGCATTGTAGCTGATGCTGATGCTAGCTGATGCTTGGAACTGCGCACGGTGAGCTTAGGTTTGTGTGCAGCTGCTCAGCCATGGAAACCCAATCAGTGAAGTTCCCAATTAACAGTACTTTGCTGATGTTGCTTCGAGGCAGTCTAAAAATCAGTAGTGAGCGTTGCTACTGAAGACAGATGGTTTTTGAGCACCTTAGTATGTGTTAGTTGTGTTCTGTGAGCTTGTGTAGCCCACAGCTTACGGTGATGAACCGACTTATTGGAAAAATGGCATCCTACGACAGTGCCATGTTGAAAGCCACTAAACTCTTCAGCACCACCCATTCAACTTCCAGTGCTTGTCTATGGAGACTGCATGACTGTAAACTTGATTTTGTACGGCTGTTAGCAATCAGTGTGGCTAAAATAGCCGAATCCACTAATTAGATGGAGTGTCCACATACTTTTGGCCATGTGGTGTAGCTAGTTGATTCAACAAATGTGTGTAGATACATACAAGCTTTGTCTGCTTTCCTAAGAACAAATGAGAGGTTCACATATTGGACTGTGTTTTAGAAATAGAAAATGACATTGTCCATTCACTGAGAGCTGATCATAGCCTACTGTCGGTTCTTCCCAATCCCCCGTTCCAGACACTAACTGTAAGGTTGGAGAAGTTAATGTCCTGAGTGTTCTGTTATCAGTGCATGTAAATAGTAACTATCTAGAAATTTAACATCCTTCCTTTAAAATATTGGGTATAACTGACCCTTAAACTGGCAGCATTTGTTGGCATCTTCTTATTACAAGTAATGACTTTTCAAGGAAACTGGAGCAGAACTGAGACTATTTTTGTATGTTAAGAAGGGCTGAGACTTCGAAAAAAATTTGATACAAATGAGAGAAAGGGGACACAGGTGGTTGGTTATGATTTTGCTTTGAAGCGGAAGGTGGTTCATGAGGTAAATGACCCCAAAATCCAAAACTCTAGTAACATTTTCTGGCAACAGTGTCAGAATAAACAGTGAAGCTGTCTGTTCCTTATTGAATGAAGAAGAACTGTGTGAAAAAGTAAGAAATCAAGGACCCAGAAGAGTCAAAATGATTCGGTGAAAACAAAATAAGAAACCTGTGATCTGAATAAGCCAACACAGAGGAAATATGTTCTCCAATCTTAGTCCTTTGTTCAACCCTATGTAAGCAGTGCATAATGGCATAATGGTTAATTTGGATACTGAAACATTAATAAAGAAAACATTTGTCAGTAATTATGTTACTTTTTTTAATGTAATTTTCATTTGCCATCGAGGGTTGTCCTAATTATTCACCTGATTGTATATATTGTACTGCTGTCAGTACTGCTGTGATGTGAAGATTGCAGCATTTCATTAACGTGGTGTTTAAGTGTTCATTATAAAGGGGGTCAGAGTCTCAATGTGGCCTATAGGGCACATGCATAACCAACATAATGTTTAGTTCTCTGAAAAGTATCCATGTTGTATTTATTTATTGTATTCTACATATCTGTACATTTAACAAAGTTTGTATGTAGTGTTCTGTTTAGTAGATGCTTAAAAAATAATACTTTTATATGTGAATCAATAGCTCTAGACTTTGTTTGCATATGATACAGGGCTCTGCTACAAAGGAGCTTCTGGCCTCTTTTGAGCCTCTATAGATAGACAGATAAATGTTGGTAAATGTCACTCCATTAAATTGATTTTGTCTCTGGTTTTGAGTTATTGTGCTTTGTTTATTTTTTGATTCATAAAAATAAAATAAATTAATAAAATAACCTTTATCTCTGTTACTATCTCCATAACTCAAAAACAGTGGTTTTCTACAGGAACAGTTCATTCTACAGAAACTTACCAAGTCAGAATTGTTCACAGTAGTGGTGATATGAACCAGACGTCTGAAGTGGTTAACGCCTCTACAAGCTCCCTCGCAGAAAGTTATTAAATGCAATGGTCCTGAATACACTGTCTGATGCCTGAGGCATTGATTTATGATAGTTTTGAGATCAGATTTTGACCTAAAATATATTTTTAAAAAGGTTGTCAGAGAGAGGTACATGCAGGGTGTAGTGAGGCAAAATAGTCTCCAAAGAAAACCCTTTTTTTTTTTAGATTTACTATGATTTTACTGTTATCAATATTACATATAAAACTCAGAAGGTGTACGTTCACTGGTCATTTTGGATAGTAAATATAAAATAGCCGTGTTTGCACTGTAGTCATTGTGATCTCTGGTTCTTATCACCACCACTGTGAAGAAATCTGAGTCTATAAATTTCTTCTGTTATGAATTATTCAGAAATTTGGAAAAAAAATCTGTGAAATCCCTCTTTGTGATACTGTACTTAAAAAAACAAAGACTGTTAATCTCGTAGATTTGCAGTGGGTGGTGTTAGGATGGGGTGAGTGGTATGCTTGTCAATCTTTTGAACTGTAAGCATGTTGCCTATGATACTGTAATAAACATACAGCATATTTCATGTTCATAGGAGTCGAGTGAATCTGAAACAAGGCACAAGCTTTCCACAGTGCAAGCTAACTGATATGCCTGTCCTTTTATTTCTTCTAAGCAGTCACAAAATTATGTGTGGAGTTAAGGAAAGCAACATGTTCTTCATAAGAGTGAAAAAATAAGCAAAAAACAAAGTCATTCAGAGCAGTTTGAAATGAAATGGTCTACTGACTAAGATTTCTTTACAGTGGTGGTGACAGGAACCAGTGATCATGATGTCTACAACACAACTATAGCGACTTTATTTACTATACAAAATGAACAGAAGCCTACACCTGTCTCCTGAGTGTTTATAAGTAATGCTGATAATGGTAAACTAGAGAACGGTCTTTGGGGACTATTTTTCTTTACAATACCCTGTATGTACCTATTTTATTTTTGCTTGTATAAATAAAAATAATGCGTGGCAACAACTTGTTCCCATGTCTTACTAAGTCATGGCCAGGACTTAATTACCTCATTCCCATGCCTTACTAAGTAGTGGCAACACATTAGGATCTCATTCCCATACAGGAATAAGGCGTGGCCTTATTTTATTATGTAAAATAATTCCAGACACAAGCTCTCTGTTAGCTCTCTATTTAACTTTTACCCCAATTATGCCTTGACAGAGATATTATAATGGGAAGACAGTATAGGACAGTTCACTATATCAGTTGGATACATCGTAAGGGTCAATGTGACGACGGTATTATGCAAAGTCAATTTAATGAAGATGGTAAAGGCGTAAATGGATTAAGTCACCGCCTTGTTGAGGACATAGGTGAATGCATAGTAGCATTTTTTGTGCATTATTTGAGCCAAACTATTTATGTGACTTTTGTACACTGTGACACAAAAACTATGTGATATAAAAACTGTCAAAAACCAAGTAAAAGTCATTCTGTTTTGATGGAAAACAAAAATATTGTCTTTTATATTACATCATATGGTGAATCTTGCTTAATGTGACCAGGTTCATTTAGAAACAGCAGACCAGGCTGAAACATTCTTTATAAGTTCAACATGAGTGGTGGCTGTAGGCTGAATAGGCGGACATGTAAAGGCACTGGGTTTTGTAACAAAATCAATTAATTTAAAAATGGCCTGATTTTACAGCTTAGTTGTAAAGACCTTATCGACTGGGGAGCAAAAGATACACTTTCTTTGAAACAATTATACATTGTGAGGAAGGTTTGGTTTTTCATTAACTCCATATTCCATATTCATTCCTGAAGGTCTCAGTCACCGAAACATCTTCAAAACATTTTATAACATAATACTAACTAGAGAGAGAGAGAGAGAGAGAGAGAGAGAGCGCGAGAGAGAGCGAGAGAGCCTGTCGAGCCTTTATTTTGAAATTCCCCAGCAGGAAGTGTGTCCGTACGTACACACATAGCAAGCCATGCTAGGTAGCTAACGCTAGAGAGAAAATACTCCCAAAGTTACACATTAATCTTTAACTGCTCTGTTTAAAATGGAGAAACAGGAGTTTTCGAAAACGTGTGATCAAGGTATGAACTGTCTGTGACTTTTGCTCTGTGCAGGTCACTTAATTTTAGCGTCATTAATGAAGTCAGCTAATGCGGCGCTGTGTCAGTGTCTGAGCAAATAAGCTGTTTTCTGTTTGAATCCAACGTTCATTAAACGCAGATGAATAAAGTCCCAGATGGACATTGTGTTGCATTAGAAAATACTTTTGCTAGGATAAACTTTTGAGTTGTACTTCATTTGATTTAAGTTGCGTTATTGCTGTCTTGTTAGCAGGGATTCGTGACTTTAGGTAACTTAATGGGTTAAACTGTGGCGGTTTCTGCGCACGTTAACCTACATCACGATACAACAACATAAACAGAAGCTGGATTTTATCCTGGAGTCGCTCTGCTCTGTAAAATTATTTCAGAGATTCGAGATTAAGGCATTTGATTCACAAAGAAGTTTATATGTATTATGTGTGTTTTTTTTTTCATTTTATTTATACTTAACGTTAATGTGATAAGGCAACATGGGCTGTTTTTAAATGCTGCTATTTTTCTGTGTCCTTTACAGGCTCCGGACTGCCTCTCTCTTCTTTGCGCCTCCTGGTACCACCTTTGCATTTGATGTATACGTTCATGTGGCAGGTTCTGCTGCAGAAAAACGTGCAACATTATGGAAAACTGGAGGAGTTTGTGTCCTTGGTCACAGAGACTGTTCCCCACCTGCTGAATTACAGACAAAGAGCACAGCTTCTACTGGGGCTGAGGGCAAGAGTGAGTGTGCTTCTGACAACAGATTTTTTTTGCTCTGACATTATCATATACTAACTACACTGCAAATTAAGCAACTATTCATTCCAGAGCTATCTGCTCAGCAATCACTTTTTTCCTGCAGAATTTAAAGGTGCAGTGTGTAAGATTTGGTGGCATCTAGTGGTGAGGTTGTGGATTGCAACCAACCGCTACCTCGCCCTTTTCTTTGCAAGAATGTCGTAGAACCTACCTTGGCGGTCATATTTTTTCTTTTTTTTTTTTGCTTCTTATTTTTTTGCTAAATAATACATATGATAATCAGTTTATCAAGATTTGGGTTCTCTGACTTCTCACAACACAGAATGGTTGGCTGACACCAGCAGCAACCACGGATTCTTCTTCTTTCTGCGTCTTCCAACCGGTGCTATAGCATCACCAAATTCAAGCTGCCACTTAATGTACGTAAATACGCAAAAAGCAGTATTTGGTTTTTCCATTCCGGGATACTGTAGAAACATGGCAACGCAACAGGGTTGGAATTTTTTTGTCCACCCACCACTGTGGCTGGTAGATTCCAAAATATACCAGCCACTTTCTTGTTTTAACTTGCAGTATATAACTGCATGTGATCAATATAACAATGCATGTGCTCCCTGTGGTTATTACTGTATGGCATATTTGCTAATAGATCCCCCTAAATTGTACACACTGCACCTGTAATCGTCTGTTATAAGACATCTTGATAATTTAACCACAAAACGTATCTGTCCTTGAGTTTGTAGTACCAACATCTGCAGGTGCCATGAATGAACAGTTTGGCTAGTTGTGCACATCGCAGCATACCAGAACAAGAAAAGAAAAACAGTATTGTTTATTATTACTTATAGAAATATTAGTATCAGCTAAAAAGTAGCCTATCGTCTGAATCTCACCCACAAATTACTAGTCACTCAAAACACACACCATATTTCCTTTTCTGTACGTCACCATTTCACCAAACAGAGCTTCAAGCAGAGAGGCCTATGTAGAGAATGACCCTGATCATTTTAAAGCTTTTAGCACAGTGGTCAGAGAACTTCAGTTTTGGATTGTACACTTTTGTTAATCAAAGAGGAATCAGTCAAACCACTTAACAGAAGGAAACAAACTTCCTTTTTGGAGTACTTTGTTCCATTTACATTTGTTTTGTGAGCTTAGAGGGAAAAAAGGGAAATCAGTACAGTTTGCTTTGGAATATCAAGTGTGACTTATATGTGGTATTGTTTTTCTTTCAGATGGTTTTAGAGGCGTTACGAGGCTCATCAGATACAAAAATTGTCCACGCTCACTTGGAGAGAATGAGACTCCCTGCCATTCAAACTGGAGGCCCAGTAGTGAGCAGATCAACTAACTGCTGTTCATTCATAACACACTCATTTTGTTATATTCATATTATAGGGAAATTCCATACATGTTTTTTAATTTTCTGCTTCATTAAATCATTCAGATATAAACAATCAGAGTTGAGTGATGTGAAATGTGGTGTTTTAAACAGAAATTAGAGTTAAAACTGTTTACAGTGTTAATGAATGGAACCAGACGTCCAAAGTGTTTAATGCCTTTAAAAGCTACCCGACAGAAGCTTATTACATAAAATGGTTAAGAATATTTTACCTGATGCCTGAAACATTTATTTTTGAAAGCTTTGAGAAAGTTTATAGTACCCAAAGAAAATCCAAGTTGCTAAGTTTCTCATTTCACGTCAAACCACTCTACTCGACTTTGTTTACTTCTCAACAGTTGAATTATGCAGAAAGATTGAAAGATTTATGGAAATGTAATTTCCTTTTGGATTGACTTTTTTAAATCATTTGTGGGCATAGAACTGTGTCTATACAATTATACAATAGACAATAATGCCAACCTTTTTTTTTTAATGAATGTGTGGTTTGTCTGTTATTTAACTGATTTTATCTTCTCAGCACATAGATTCAGATTTGGAACTGTCAGTGTCCAACTTCAAAGCACTGGTCCTTGCACTGCTGAAGGACCCAGCAGAAAAAGCATGTTTCTTTCAGGTGAGAAATGGACAAATACTCAGTCAAGCTGTGTTCAATGTTAATGCTACCTAAACAGATTTAGTATTAGATATAAATAGATTTGGGATGATGTTCCACAAAATTCTTGTTTTTGTCTGTTGATTTTCTTTTGAAGGTGGTATTTCCTGTGGAATATGGCCCAAAGTATGACACAGCTCTAAAGGAGCTAATGTGGGAACTACTCTTCTGTCTGGAGAGGTTGCTTCCTGTTCCAGACTTTAAAAAGGTGCAGTAGTAATGCACAATGCAGTATTTACCTTAAAGAATGTTTAACCTTATAGAAAGTTTAGAACCTTGTTAATGGTTAGAAATGTATATCCATACTCAAGACAGCTGTTCAAGTGTATTGAGTAATTAGTGGTTAAATTCTGTGCAGTCAAAACATTTGCTGTTTGTGTAATTTTGATAAACTTGAATATAATGAGTATGAAAAAGGTGATGGTAATCGGTGCAGCCAGTTCTTTGCCAAAGTACAAATTTGTCACACTATAAAACATGTTCTTATTGTTCACGTTTTCTGAATCTTTAACTTTCATGAGACCCACTGTTATGCTGATTTTCAGAAATGGCATCAGTGTTACATTGCACCCTCAATAAATGAACCGAGTTGAATTGTCTCTCACAGACGTTGTCTTGGCTCACCCCTGTACCTGCTGGCCTGGACGAATACATGCAGTCCGAACCAAAATGCTTGCAAGCTCTGTTACAGCAACATAAAGTCATCGGCAGTGGGGACAATGAGTACTGGAACAAAGTTTCCAAAACAGGTAAGGTATTGCTTGGAATATTACTTTAAAGGGAAATACATTCCCTGTTTTTTTTTGGTTTTTTTTCCAAATTTCTACATAATTCAGTTGAGATGTCAACAGATTAATTCAGACGCGTTTGATGTAAAATGGTTAATTGTAGAGGAACTTCTGAGTCTTCTGAATTGTTACATGTAGTGTTTATAATGGTAAAACAATGGCAGATCAAAAAATGAGTTTTCTTTGAGGACTGTTTGACCCTCCAACACCTGCCATGATTGGATTTAAAATCTGCATTTTAGGCCAAAACCATCTCAAAAGTACCATAAAACAATGTTTCAGGCATCCCACAGTGTATTAACCATTTCATGTAATAACTTTCTGTGATGTGGCTTTTAGAGGCATTAAGTAGGTAAGTTTCCTTAGAATGCTGAACATTTCTGACTTGTTTGAATTACCACATTTGACATCAAACTATTTGGAATAATTTTATTTACGTCTTAACAACAGAAATATGCAGAAATTTTTTACAATAGGTGGAATTCCCTTTAGGCAAATGTTGGACAGAGGGAGTCTCTTATGTTTTTTCCAGAGCACATGCCACGCATACTGGAATCTAAACTCTGTGCAGGGTATGGTCCTGAACATCTGCCTTCTTGTGGAATCTGGTTCTAACCACAATCTGCCACACCTGCTCCAGCTAATTAACTTCTTCAGAAGTCCTTGATTGGATGAATCAGATACATTTATGTTAAGTTAGGCATGTTAGACACAGGTTGGAAATAACCTGCAAGAAAGTAGGGAGGGGCAGGGACCGCTGGTTAATAGCATTAAATGAAACACTCAGAGGCCGTCACACCTGCAGTACAGAATTAAGGGGAAATACCACATAATTTCCACATAATTCAATTGTTAAGATGTGAAAGTTCATTGTAGAGAAATTTACTAGGTCAGATTTCTTTATAGTGGTGGTGATAACCAGGAGTCACAATGTCTCCAACACAAATATAGGCATTTTATTTACAAAACCACCAGTGAACCTACATGTGTTCTAGGAGTTTTCTTATGTAATGTAGATGATAAAAAAAAAAAAAAAAGTTTTCTTTGGGTACTGCTTTGTCTTACAATACCCTGTAAGTACCTCTCCACTATAAGAAGATTTTACAAAATACATTTTAAACCAAAATTTGATCTCAAAACTGTTGTAAAACCCTCTCAGGCAGAGTATTATATTTCATGTAATAAGTGTCTATGAGAGAACTTTAAGATTCATTAAATACTTTGGACGTCTGGTTCCTATCACCACCACTGTAAACAATTCTGACTCTGTAGGTTTCTCTAGAGCAGAGCATTTCACATCAAACTACTCTGCTGTCTAATGGCTTTGTTTTCTTCTTAATTATCTAATGATGCAACAATTTTGAACATTCTGTGGAATTCCCTTTAAGCCCAAAAGCTGCTTTATTCTTTTCTGTTAAACCTGCAGGGACTACTCTTTCCACATCAGGGAACTGCATTCTTTCCTCCCTCTCCATTCCTCCATCAACACATGTTGCGGTCGCCACTGAACCCATGGTCTACCACATCCAGCCAACCACTGTGACCATCCTGAGCCAGAATGCCCTGGGCCAGCTGGGCACAGAGGCCATAATCGTGACTGACTACACAGAAGTCGAGCTGAGCAGTAACGAAGTGGCAGAGATCACAGAGGTCAGTCACAACACTGAGGAATCGGTGAGGAAATGTGTGGAGGTGAATAATGAGAGCAGCTCTGTGGTGGCCATTCTCAGTGACGAAGGTGCCGCAGAAGAGGAGGAGATGATTACTGTAAGCCAGCAAGTAGAGTTCCGTGAGGAACCACAGGACAGAAACAAAGAGGATAGAAATTTATGTGAGAAATCAACACAGTGTGACATTATAATGGAGATTCTAGGAGACGGAGGGGGATTAGTGTCCTTCAAAGCTGAACCTGAGAGAGAAAATAAAGGTGAACAGAAACAGGAAGATGTACCTCAGACTTCTGACGATAGTCAAGAGGATAGTGGACAAGATAACTGTACTCTAAAGGAAGACAAAATCATGTTTATAGAAGGCAGAGAACAGACCGTGCAGCCCCAACGGAGGCGTGGCAGACCGAGGAAGAATGCTGCACCGCCAAAACAGGTTCAGACTGGGAGACGGAGAGGACGGCCTCCGTCAGTCACAGTGGAAAATGTCACAGAGAAGGAGTAAGGAAAAGGCTGATGTCCTTCTTTCATCACTTTTCAGTTCAGTAGATTTGAGCTTACAATATTTTCATAATATTGCACATTGTAAACATACGTAACTCTTTTTTTCAGGAAAAATGAAGACAGAGGGAAAAAAGGTACACTCCACATTATTCCGTAATGAGCAAAATATAAATACAACACTTGGTTTTTCCTATTTTTGACTCCCCTCCAACCTGTCTATCAGCACCACCAATCAGTGAGCCCCTATAAAATATAAATAGATGGAATGTGTTTATTTCAGACCTGGAATAGAAATTTGACACGTCATCATTTTCAAATGCAGACATAATTCTTAAGTACTGCACTGTACCGTATTATCGTTTTTAATATAATGGGGAAATGAAGTTGAAACCTGACAGCAGATTTAGAGAGGGGGTGATGGAGGAGTGGAAAATAAACTTTAACAAACAGCCTTTGATACATAAGAAATAAATGATGTGGATTGCACCTTATCAGCACAGTCAAGTATTTAGTCTCCGCTTGCTTTTTCCCTTTAGATCCAAAGCCCAGCAAACTTGAAGCAGGCCAGAATGGTGTTGAGACTACAGTGAAAACTAGAGGTCTTCGAACAAGATTGAAACCACAGCCTGAAGCTTCTGAAGAAAACCCTCGTGCTCGCTATACCTGTAACGTCTGTGGACGGAAGTTCACCCGCTCGTCCGATGTGCGGCGCCATCAGCTCACCCACACTGGCGAGCGTCCCTTCCACTGCACTCAGTGTGAGAAGACCTTCCAGCATTCATGGGATCTGACCAAGCACTGCAAGAAGTTCCATGGCGAGGCCACCTTCTCGTGCCAGCTGTGCTGCAAGAGTTTTATAAACCTGCGGGTTCTGACCGCCCACCACAAGGAGAGCCACACAGAAGAGCTTCCCCTTTACTGCTCCATCTGCGGGGAGGTCAGCCCCAGTGCCGATGCCCTTATCGAGCACCGCAAGACTCACAGCGCCACTCACCAGTACAAGTGCGATGAGTGCGGCGAAGGCTTCGACACCTTACTGCAGCGCTCTGCCCATCGCGAGAGCCACCGGTTGCATCGCAAGTTCAAATGCCCGCAATGTGACAAGGCATACACAAGGCGGGCAGACGTAAAGAGGCACCAGCTGACCCACACAGGTGAACGGCCTCACCAGTGCGGCATCTGTGGGAAGGGTTTCGCCCTACGCGCTGGCCTTCAGAAACACCAGATGATCCACACCGGAGAGAGACCCTACCAGTGCTCGCAGTGTCCCAAAGCCTTCAGCCTGATGTCCATCTTGCACAGGCATGAGCGTATGCACACAGGCGAGAGGCCCTTCCTGTGCTCACAGTGCGGTAAGAGCTTCCTCTCTCTGGGCGAGCTGCTTAAGCATGATAAGTCACACACGAATGAGAGGCCGCACTCCTGCACCCAGTGCAAGAAGACCTTCAAGTCCAAGCGAGGGCTGAAGGATCACATGCTCAGGCACAGCGGCCTGCGGCCGCACGCGTGTTCTTACTGTGGCAAGAAGTTCACAAAGTCTTTTGCTTTGATCAGACACCACATGATACACACGGGCGAAAGGCCGTTTTCATGTACATACTGCGATAAAACGTTCCTGACCTCTACAGAAGCTTCTCTCCACAAGCGCATGCACACTGGAGAGCGACCCTTCAGCTGCTCGGAGTGTCCCTGGAAGTTCCGGACCTCCTCGGAGTTGACGAGGCACAAGCGCACACACAGCCGGGAGAAGGTGTATGACTGCAACTGCTGTCCCAAAACATACAAGAGCATGGCCAAACTGAAAAGCCACATACGCATCCACACAACGTTTGACCGAGCCAGGTGCCTTACTGAGGGTGAGGTGGCCAATGCTGTGTCGTGACAGAACTGGTCATAAGAACTTGACTGCGGACACATTTCAGTTTTCATGTCAGTTTATTAGGTTCTCACCGAATATGTCATTGGCTCAAACTTGAAGTTTTTGTAATGGATTTAATATAATGGATATTAAATCGATGATCCTACAAATCAAGCAAAACTCTTACAGATCTACCTTAATCTGTAACTTGCTTTATTAGAAAATACTGAATATGCTGAGGTGTATTCTTTACTTATTTTCATATTGTGACTTTGCGAGTTCTTTCGTTTTGGCTGTGAAGTTGTAAATAAAGTTGAGTAGGCTTTGAAGAATGTCTACAGTGTTGTCACTAGTCTAAACATGTCAGCAGTGCAGTGTGACTGAACGAGATGCATGAGACAGTAGGATGTGAATACTAGTGTTTTTTTTTCTTAAATATTTCATTTAAGACAGGTAAAAGTGTGATGTGTGAGTAGCGCTACATAATGCCTGATGGATTGAGCTTGTGGTGCTGACGTTTTAAATACTCAGATGAACATTATAGTTATGTTGAATAAAGATGTGCCTGTGCACCTCTTAGGACACAAGTTAGACATTTTTAAGAGATGTGTATATATTTTGGGGGGGTCTTTTATCACAGCTGGTGGGACAGAACTTCTCAGATCTGTTTTCACTCTAGCAAAGTAGTTACTGGAAGCCTTTTTTTGGGTTTCAGCAAGAGAATCTGTAATTCAGTCCCTGCTGCCTACATTTTGCGATCAGTAGTAGCTTTGGGCATTTCATTGATATCGATTATATGGATAATTTAAAAAGGTGACGATATGTAAGTTATTTCTTTACCCTGACACTTGCTTTTTTTTAAGACTTTAGCTTTATTTAAACTTATCGTGCATTATCATATTTGTTTTTGCAGAATATACTTACTGTTATACTGTCGCGTGGGGTGAACAAGACAAGCCTAGATAACAAAGTTTGTGACTGTAAAGCAGTTTTATTTACAATCAATTCTTCGGCCGCACAAGGAAGAAGCAGCTCTTTCTGCACCTGATACTAGAATAAACTCCGTAAACATGTGAACAGAAGGGGAGGGGTGTTATGCCGCCGGATGTTTTGAATCAGGACCTGAACCTCGGTGACGGTAACTCACAGTCCTAAACACAGAAATCAACTGAACTGCTGCAGCGTTCACACAACCTCTAAACACCACAACCACATACTTGAAAACGCAACAGAACACCTTTACTTACTGTTTTAAGAACTAAATACGGCCCGGCCAAGCATCAGCAAAGCATCATGGGAACCATATTAGCCGCTATCGGCTCCTAACAGACCTTATCGAGCTAATCAGTTAATTAATGAGCCCTTTCCGAGGTGAACTGGGTGTGTTAGAGCATTAAAACACAAATTTGTGCTCCACAGAAGGCACTACAGGACCAGCGTTGGGAAACTGTGCCGTACCTCGTGAAATAATGTCTTCATGAGTGCAGTACGTGTCCTTTAGGATTCAGCCGTTTGGTCAGCTGGGCGCCAGGTGGCGCTGTGGGGAAACGCCGAGAAAAGCTCAGAGCGAACACGTCCGGAGGCTGAGCGTGCACGTTCAACAGCGCTGAGGCTTTTCTACTCGGACTGTTTTAAAGTGTGTGTGAAGTTGGCGGCTGTATCGTAAAACCGCGAAATAATCGTGTATGAGAGATGTAGACACCACGCTCGGACTCTGTGAGGAGGTTTGCGCCCGCTGAAGTAAAACTGCGAGCTTCTTCGGAAAGTAACTTAAATATGAGCCTCTCAGCCGCAGTGATGGAAGTGGAGCTGCCCGAGCAGGAAAACGCAGCAGGTAACTTAACTAGTTAACCTAACTAACGCAGAAAGAGTTACTGAGGAAACTGAGAGCGCATTTCGGACAGCACTTAATGTTTACACTCCGCCGTGTAGTCTGTAGTCTTATCTGGTGAACTAACAGAAGAGTGCAGCAGCAGCGTGTGCAGCTGTCTGCAGCTGTGTGGAGACCCTCAGTAAAACACATTAGGTACACATCACGGTAGAGTCACTCCGAGGGAAAATGCAGAACTTCAATACTTCCTAATTCAGGCTCAGTGCAGACCGACCTGCCAGGTCACTCCAGTGTCAAGATGATGGTCAGCTGCTGCAGCTCCAGCAGTACAGTGTGTTACTCACCTAGATCAGGGTTTAAAGAGTAATTCCACCAATTTTTCACAATTTCTGAATAATGCATTCAGTCAGAGAGGGTTGATGGTTCACTCTCAAAGCCACCAGTGAACCTACGCATGTCTTCTGAGTTTTATATGTAATGCTGATTATGGCAAAATAGTCATGAATCTGAAAAAGTTTTCTTTGAGTACTATTTTGCCTCACAATGCTCTACATGCACCCCTCTGTTATGAATGAATAAAAACAAAATCTGAGTAAAATGCATTTTAAGCCAAAGCTTTGTCACAAACGATAATAAAACAATGTGATCAGGCAGCGTATATCTTTTCATGTAATAACTTTCTGTGAGGGAGCTTTTAGTGCTATTAAGACTATTCAGACATCTGGTTCCTATCAACACCACTGTGAACAATTTTGACTCAGGACGTTTCTCTAGAATGACGCATTTCATCTGTTCCATCTGTTTCTCTGCATACTTTGTTAGCCCCCTTTTACCCTGTTCTTCAGTGGTCAGGACCCCCATGGACCCTCACAGAGCAGGTACTATTTGGGTGGTGGATCATTCTCACCCCTCATTAACACTGACGTGGTGGTGTTAGTGTTATTGTGTGTTGCGCTGGTTTGAGTGGATCAGACGCAGCAGTGCTGCTGGAGTTTTTAAACACTGTGTCCACTCACTGTCCACTCTATTAGACACTCCTACCTTGTTGGTCCACCTTGTAGATGTAAAGTCAGAGACGACAGCTCATCTGCTGCTGCACAGTTTGTGTTGGTCATCCTCTAGTCCTTCATCAGTGGTCACAGGACGCTGCCCACAGGACGCTGTTGGCTGGATATTTTTGGTTGGTGGACTATTCTCAGTCCAGCAGCACTGCTGTTTCTGATCCACTCGCACCAGCGCAACACACACTAACACACCACCACCACGTCAGTGTCATCGCAGTGCTGAGAATGATACACCACCCAAATAATACCTGCTCTGTGCTGGTCCTTTGGAGGTCCTGACCATTAAAGGACAGGCTGGAAGGGGGCTAACAAATCATGCAGAGAAACAGATGGAGTACAGTGAGTGAGAAAATACTACTAATAACAATATAATAAAAATAATAAAAAAAAACACTATATATATAGTGTTGTTGTTGTTGTTGTTGTTATTATTGTTATTATTGTTATTATTATTATTATTATTATTATTTTCTTTCTTACTTCCATTGTTAACGGATACAGAAATGAAACCAAAGGCATAGGTGCACTTTTTAGCTAGTTTGGATGCATGCTTGTTACATCCAGGTTCTCAGATAACATACTGAATTTGTATTTTAATTGTCAGGTCATGTTCCTCTGCGTCTGCCATCTCTGCGCCTCTTGGTCCCACCTCTCCGCCTCATGTCTGCAGTCATGTGGCGCATTGTGCAACAGCGAGATGTAACGCAGTACGGGATGCTTGCTGACTTTGTGTCGTTGGTTACTGAAGCTGTCCCAGAGCTCTTCAGTCACACACATGGAGTTGAACTTATTCTGGGCCTGCGAGCAAAGGTAATGCCACGTAAAGTATGAAAACAAAATAAAAGCTTCAGTATTGTTTTTTTAAGCTGTGTATAGATCATATGAACTTGCTGACTTTTGGTGTCCATTACATCTAAAACGTAACCATTTTCTCTTTTCAAGTGTGAAGTGATTTCTTTGTGTTAAACACACATACTGAGCAGCTGATTATATGTTCATAGTAACATGCACATAAGAAAACACTTTTTTCCCCTTGTAGCTGATTTTAGAGTTGTGCCGCAGGGACGATCCAGTGGATATACATGCAATCCAGCCTCACCTCAACAGCATTCAGTTGTCCCTTCCTCTGGTCAAATGTGTAAGTCAAAGAAAGAACATCATGTCAAATGCACTTTGTTTGTCCTGTATGTTATACAAAAGAGAGGTTAATATGTTTGATGTGAAATTGTTAATTGTAGAGAAACTTACAGACTCTGACATCTTTACAGTGGAGGTGAGCCAGGAACCAGGAGTCACAATGTCTGCAAAACTAATCATTTATTAACCATTAATCACTTTATTTTCTATCCAAAACCAACAGTAAACCTACACCTGAATTCTGACTTTTTGTGTGTGATGGTGGTGGTGGTGGTAAAATCGCAGTAAATCTTTGCCATAAATACCCTGCCTGCACCCTCCACCATGAAGGGATTATTTATTTATTTATGTATGTGTTTATGTATGCATGTGTTACCCCAAAACCTTTTCAAAACTAGCCTAACACAATGTCTTGAACATTAGACAGTGCATTCAAACCCTATTATGTAAAACTTTTGGTGAGGGAGTTTCTAGAGGCATTAAACATTCATATCACCAACACTGTGACCAATTCTGGCTCAACATTGTGACCAATTTTGAAAACGATCCTTTTAAGTTGCTGTTGGGTCTTGCAGGTGGACAGCATAGAAGTGGAAGAGACAGGAATTCACTTTGTGGAGCTGGTCCAAACACTCATTAAAGACACTGCTGAGAGAGAGGACTTCTTTCAGGTCAGAAATCTCTTATTAATTTGTTCATGTACTTAAGTGCTCTTCTGATGCATTCTGAATTCAATGTGTTTTGTTAAATAAATGCCTCAGGGTGAGTTTCACCAACAAGGACTAAATTAGACAGAGTTTAGAGCTAATCAAGGATTTCTTAATCTAGGTTTTATTTTAAATCGAGTTGTGTTGCACCACTTCATTTTAAACAAGGATTAACAAATCAGTGATTAAAGCCTTAATCTGAGATTAAAACCCTAACCTGCCATAATTTTGATTTTCTGCCATGTTTAATTCAGCGGTATAAAAAAACAGCAACAATATTATTCTTCATGCTAATCATTGTCTATAAGTAACTTTTTTATTTTGAGTGGAAATTAGCATAAGGCTACATCAGAAAGAGCAAAGAGGGAATTCAGAAGATAAAACAGTTCATCATTAGACCTGCAGGCTCTGCGTCATCAGGGGAGCCATTTAGCCAGCACTGAGAAGACTACTTAAAATATATGCAAAACCTTTTGGTAATTTGAATCAAATTTTTTAAAAACAACTGTATGTCATTCTGACTGGCGACCTGTCCAGGTCTAGATTTACTCTAAAAGTAATCCAGAATTAAAATTATGGTTGAAACCTAATCCTGTTGGCTTGATGTGATGTTTTTATATTGTGTTTTTCTTGTAAAATCAGCAAAGCTATAAAAGATACTTTATAGTATAACATAATTGACACATTTAAATTATTATAAACTTGACTCAGAAGCTAAACCTTTTTTTCCTCTCGTTAGAATGTGTTTCCAGTGGAGTTTGGCCCCAACTATGACTCTGCAGTTCAGACATTGATGTGGGACTTCTTGTCCAGACTGGAGCGCTTCCTGCTGGTCCCTGATCTTCTGCAGGTGAATGAATTAAAACATTCGGAGTGTACATCGTCAGGTTTTTATACATCACCCAGAATTCCCCTCTAACATGCAAAGAAGTCGTGTTATTTAAAAGCATGGGCTTTTATTTTAAATGCTGGGAGTTTAATTGTGCTGACAGTCCATCAGGTTCTTCTGTAACCTTCTGGTTTCAGACTGTAGCTTGGCTTGGCGCTGAGTCTTGTGCTTTAAAGGACTATGAGGAATTCATCAGTAAACCAGATAACCTGAAGTCACTGCTCCATCACCATAAGTGCCTTGGGCACCTAGACGCTTGTGGTATGTAAAAATCTTGCTTCAAATCTTTCTGCTGTTAGTGGCATTTCTGCTTTTTCTACCATGGAATATACTAGAGCAAGGAGAAACACTGTTTATTCACTTCACAAATGGTTTGTGTAAAGTTGCAAGATGTTTAAGTTAAAATGGGACTTAAGTTTGACGCCTAGTTTTATTTGTTGCTATTAGAAGTATGTTTCAGCAGTATTATACCAGTTTTTAGTGTATACTCTTAATGCAGGATTGTCTCAAGTCAAAATTAACTATTTCTCTGCTGGTTCTAGTAAAAGTGCTTTCAGTATCAACTTTTGAATCCACAGTAAACCCAGATTAATTCAAGTGATGTTTAGGGATGTACCTTTTGAACTAATTTTGATATTCGAGTTAAATGTATGAAAAACAAAGGGGGGGGGGACAGACTTTGGTTGACATTAATGTTAGACTGTAGGCTGACCTGTTGTGGTGACAGCACAGGTGTTGCACAAACATTTAGCAGAACATTAAAGAATGTATTGGAAACATGCATTAATATTCAAATAACCAAGGGAAATCAGTAGGTCTTTGTGTTGGGTCAGTTACAGAAGCTGCCTTTTCATATGAGCTAGAAAGTCTACAGATACAACAATTACAGCACTGGATACTGATGAGGATTTGTTGTCTTCTTACAGGTGGATGATGTGTCAACGTTTTAGTTTGTTAGAGAAATTTCATTATTTCCAGATCTAGCTAACGTCAAGTAAAGTAGATTAGTTAGCAGTAAAGCCATGCTGTATATGCTGTCTCAACCACGTCCTAAATAATGCATTTTTGGCAAATCACCAACATTAAGGCACTTGTGTGTTGTAGTAGCAAAGTGTAATATATGTTTCGGTAATTTGTTGGACTGTATCTGTCTATCCATGATAAAATAATACGATTACCTGAATAGTGATTTCAGTGTTCAAGTACTGGGACCTTTAACAAAGTACTGGAGACAGCTAGTGCTAGCACTAGTAGTAGCTTGTGTCTTGTTTGGTAAAATGTCCTAAGATTAGGTTAAAATATTTAAGAGAGAACTTCTTCTGTAGGCTTTCAAAGAACCAGTCTAGTGAGGGTCTTTAAGAACAGGGCCTATAATAGGGTCTGTAAGGAGGCCTTAATTTAGGAGGCACAAATCTTTACACTGGTGATTTAAGATGATCTGTTTTCTTTATCCACAGAATGTGTAGATGTAGAAAAAATGTAGAAAAAATGCACACTTTTGAAAATTCCTGTAGGCATTGCCTTGGTTCTTCTAAAGTATTTCAACAACTGGACTTATATGTGCTCAGTCATGCCATTTGAACCTTACAGCTTAGAACATATCTGTGTGTTACGTGCATTTCCACATTTCCACCAGAGAGGTCTCCAAACCTCTATATTAACAAAGTGTAGCTTTTATTAAACAAAAACTTCACACATTGTCTGAAAATTCTTTCGACAAACTGTCAAAATTCCACGAAAGTGCACTAAAAAATTTTCTCTGCTTTTACACAACAGCCTCCTCACCATCTCTAAATATGAGTGACTGCATCCTGTCTGTTTTGGCTGGCAAGAAAGACGGCGCAGGTCAGCTGAACACTGGCAATTGTCTACTTAATCCATCTGACGACTCTGTTCCCACTCAGATCCCTGTGTGTGTTATGGACGGGACAGATGTAGAGACTGTGGTGGTCGTGTCTGAGTGGACAGAGATTGAATTAGGAGGAGATCAAGAGGAGTCCCTACCAGAAGTAGAAACCAGTGAGGATGGTGGCAGTGCCCTACATACCACGGATTCTGAACAGAGAGAGTTGGAGTGTAGTGTAAAGACTGAGGAAAATGAGGATTCAGGAGAATCTGCTCTGCAGCGCAAAGAAGGCAGTGCATCTGTAGGTGGCCCAGATGAATCCAGGCAAGATGAGGATCTTTGTCTCAGGACTTCAGAAACAGGACAGTTGAACTGTAACACTGAAGAGGCACAGAGTCTGTTGTCTGATGTCACGGCCACTGTGGAGTCTACGTTTGTTATGCCTGTACAACCTCATGAGCCTGCTGGTCTTTGCACAGCCGCTGGTGGGACCCGGAGATCAGCTCGAAAACCTAAAAAGACTTGGAAGATTAAAATGGTGAATCTTCAAAAGCAGAAAAGAAAGTCTGTTGCCACTAAAGTTGTAAATACTCTAAAGAGGAAAAGCAACCCTGTTGCACCTGAAGCGAATTCAAATTCGATTACCTCAGATAACAGGTACATTTATGGATGTATTTTAGACTTAATTTCTGTTCATTAGTGCATAGTATAGTCCCTTTATTGTTCAGAAAATTCCTCTGTTTCTGTATAATCTAATGTGGTACTTAACCGTGTCTTCGATATGAGAATGGCATTTCAACTAGTATTCAGTTGTAGGCACCTTGTTCCAGCAGTGATTGTACTCTGGTTCTTTTACAACATAATTTGAATATTAGCCCATGCAGTGAACTTTAGACATAACTAATGTGACGGGGAAGATCTGAGGTTCTTTTATGTTTTGCTGTTAATTTTAAAGGGATGCTGCTGAACTACCTGAAGTGTCTCCTGATCTCGTCTCAAATGAAGAAAACACAGGTTATGTTACATCCACTCATATTCTGTTCCACTATCCAGGCACTTAAGAGTCCCTTTGGTCCCACTGTGGTGCAAGTGATTTGATATGTTTTCTCATTCTTGGTTACTCACTGCAACCACATCACCATTGCAAATAATATTGGATTTTTTCTGTTGTTTACAGATGTCTCCTCAGAGATCTTTTCCTGTCAAAAGTGTTCATTTACTCACACTCAAGAGAGGTACCTGAAAAGCCATATGAAAAAGATCCACCCCATTCCAGTGGAGGAGAACGAGAAGGAACCCCATGTGTGCCAGGTGTGCAGTAAAGGCTACCGCTTCCCTGGCATGCTAAAGGCGCACCAGCGCACCCACACGGGCGAGCGACCCTTCCAGTGCACGGCATCTCGCTGCGGGCGCCGCTTCTCTCACATCCAGGCTCTGCGCCGCCATCGCCTCACACACAACCCCAAAGCTGTTCATAAAGCTCCTGATGATACGCCTCAGGATGATGAGCCTGAGAAAGAGGAGCCTGAGAGCCAGGAGGGTCAAATGTACAACTGCCTCTACTGTGGAGAAAGCTTCAGCTCGCTCAGTGCACGCCGGGACCACCACAAGACACACCCAGAGGAAGAGATGAACCGTTGTAACGACTGCGGCAAGCAGCTCAGCTGCCAGGCGGCCCTCATCAGGCACAAGCGGGGCCACCTGGAGGACCGGCCACACAAGTGCACCATGTGCAACTCTAGCTTCACCTGCGTGACCAGCTTTAAACGCCACTTGCTCACGCACCAGCCTGAAAGGCCATACCATTGCAGTTGTGGCAAGGGCTTCACCTACAGGGGCGCCTTGCTGTCCCACCAGCGCACACATGTGGCAGAAAGACCCTACCACTGCTCACACTGTGACAAAAGCTTCCTCTACCCTGGGGCTCTGAGGAAGCACGAGTGGACCCACTCCAAAGAAAAACCCTATCTTTGCTCACACTGTGGCAAAAGCTTCAAAAGGGAGAGAACCCTCCGGGCACACATGGCCGGCCACACCAAGGAGAAGATATACAAATGCTCTCTGTGCGACAAGACCTTCGCATACAAGGCCAGTCTGACAAGACATGAGCTCACCCACTCCGGCGAGAGGCCTTTCCTTTGCTCTGAATGCGGTAAGACCTTCTTCTCGTTCGGAGAGCTGCTGAAGCACCAGCGCTACCACACCGGACACAAGCCCTTCCAATGTGCGCACTGCGACAAGAGCTTCACACAAGCCTGCTATCTTCAGCTGCACACTAGGTACCACACCGGAGTGCGCCCCTACACCTGCTCTCAGTGCAGCAAAAGTTTCTTCACATCCTGCCGTCTCAAAAGACACATGCAGATCCATACGGGAGAGAAGCCGTTTGAGTGCATGGAGTGCGGGAAAAGATTCAGACAGGCGTACGTGCTGAAAGTGCATCAGCGGACACATGTAGGAGGGAGAACTCAGAGTGTGATTAACGACAGTTTGTTCTGACCATTTTTTGTGTTGTGAATAGTAACAAGGCTACTTTAATTACAGCTGAGTTTTCATTTCAAGAGGTTTTTTGTAAACACTAAAGACCAATTCAATCATATTTTCATTTAAGTCTAATATTGTCACATCAGATGTTTACTTGTTATGACCATATCAGTGTTTCTCTTTCTCTTGTTGATGCCTTAATGACGAACCTTTGTAGGCAGATGCAAATGCAGAGAAGACATACAAACAGCACACTAGCTCAACCTTTAAGATGATAGGCTTTTTATGTTAGTACTTCACAACCAGCTTCTGGTGACCTTGGACTAGCTTCACTTTCCTAAGACCAATCATTCATTCTTACCCACTGTAAGAGAACCTGCAAATGATCTCAATTCTGCTTGAAAGAGCAACATCTACCTGGGCCTACTTCACTGGCTGTCAGTGCTGCTCCTGGAGCTCTAGTGCCCTGCATGTTGAAGTGTTCTCTCTGAGACAGCACATGGAGTTCACCTCAAGGGCTTCTTATTTACTTCATTAGATGTATCAGGTGTGCAGGACCAGAATGTATATTGTATATGTATTTTGTGATGTTGAGAGGCTCCAGTAAGTCGTTGTTGAAACTTCCGTTAAGGCAGGTATGTCAAACTGGGTTCCTCGCCGGCCATAGCTCTGAGGAGATAAACATTTTCCTTCATCTTGACCTCTGAATTAAATTCACAAAGCCTTTGCCAATTGGCTGATGAGCTGAAATGCAGTGTTTTATGTCTGCATCTTTTTGGCTTTTTGCTGAGGAATGTAGTGCAAAATGTGCATTAAGCTGTAACATTTTAAAACCTGAAAATTATGGGTCACCTTATATTTATGCTAGAAGACTTTAAAAGAGTACAAAGGATTCTCACAGAGTAGAAATTGGTTCGAGCAAGGAGAAGCAAATCTACACAAGCATAGTGTGAAGCGCAAATCAAGATGCTATTCTTTTTGTATGGAAGCTACTGTAGTGAGTTTTTCCAGTAAATGAACCTGTCATAATGCTTACATGAGTAATTTCTTGTGTGTTTTTTTTGTTTGTTTAATTTTGATTTTCCCTTTTTTGCTTGGAATTTCCTTAGAGGGTAAAACAAATGGATATCAATAAATAATGTAAAAGTCTGTCCATATCTGACTTTTTAGAGCTTTTTTCCTCCCATTTATTTTTGTCTTCTAGATCCTTGGGACAAATGTAGATTTTTCATGAATTCGGGACGTGATATAGATTTGTAGCAGCTTGTTTGGCCCTGAAATATATGAATGTCCTTTGCTACTCTCCTCTGCTCTCCCCTCTTTGTTTATATATAGGTCTAGGGCAGAGGTCACTAACAGGTAGACCGAAGACCAAGTCCGGACCCAGACGCTGTCCTATGCGGACCTGGCCCTATAACCAATAAACTATGGCGAATCATTTAATTTTCACAGCGTGTCCTATTTTAATCGGTGTAACTTTTTTAGCCTTTACGGTATCGCTTTAGCGGCTTGGGAGACTCATAGACCAATCACATGCGTTGTAAATATCACACGTGATGCTACTCAGCCAATAAGATCTGTGCATTACGATGACCACTGAGACTCGAGTGAGGGACGAAGCGAGAAACAGCAGTTGGAGAAGAAAAAAAGGGTTTTTACTAAATGAATTGTAGAAATGGTTCATCTTCGCATATGGTTTCAAACTACATTCTAGTGTTTAATATAACATTTGAAAAGGTAGTTAATGGCAGCAAAAACCTCTTAGTAATAACATACTTCCTGCATAGCACACACTGTATTTTTAAACCCGTTTTGACTCGAACTTAACCACCTTCAGGTATGTGGTATATGTAATTCTTCATTTGTACAGTTGATGTCAGCACTGCACTATTTAAGTGTTTTCCACATGTCACTTATTCATTAGGTCTACTGCTCTACAGTGAAAGTCATATCTACAAGTTAATGAGCTCCGTAGTAGTGTTTCTCAGTAATGTATGAAACACCTCTCTTTATGGAATTAGGATACCCTGTCATGTTAATCGCCAATGAATGCAACATTTTCCTCTCCTCCATCTCCCCTTTTTGATTCATATGAAGAATTTGACCTGAGGATAGACATGAAGTTGCATGTTGTCATTAATGGATTCTCAGAAAAAGCTGCTGATTGCAAAAAGCTTTTCGTGCTTTCTCCATCTCTGCGCTGTCAACAACACAGAAAAATCAATACAACACCCTCAAAACACAAAGGCGCAAAGGGCAGATGCCGGTGGGTGCCTGTGCCGAGTTCCTCTGCTCACTCTGCCTGTCTCACAGTTTTGGAGTCCAGCTGGGAGATCAGAAAGAACAGAATGGCTCGACTGCCCTGCCGCTGAGCGCTGACCTTCTGGTTTCAGTAGGGTGAGGGATAGAAGTTGCCCTTTGCGAGCATATAGGATCGGCTTTCTCCACCAGCCTGTGAATTTAAAGGGACCAGTTATGACTTTTTGTAGGATTTTGCACTTTCTTCATAGCTAAAGTCATCACCACCAACAACACAATATCCAAGGTGCAATTTCTCATGGCATTTTGTTCAAATACAAGATTGCACTAGTTGAGTGCTCTACTGGGCAACACTCAGGGTTGGGATTTGGAGTCTTTACATTCTTTTCATGCTCAACAAATCTTTCAGTGACCGTTTTTTGCCTTGTGGATGATGGAGCATCATCTTCTGAGACCATTTCTATCACAGATGCTTTTATACATACAGATGCATATGACAGCAGGTGACTGTGTAATCACAGTCATCGCTGCAAGCCATTCCAAAGTGACCTGCAGCTGATTGAGCTCATTCATTTGAAGTGCAGCCTTTGAGTAGTGAACAGAGAGCGGGGCACAGCTTAACTTAATTTTAAAACAACTGGAGCAGGACTAATATTTTTATACAAGCAAACTACACATCTAAAATGAAAACTTTCCAGCACCTTCTGTTTATGAACAGTCCAGCAAGAGGTGGTCAATATGACTATTTTATTGTGATCATGATAAATTTTGTTATTGTGATAATGCTTTTCTGAGGCTCTGAGATCCACAAAAAGTGCATACTTAGTCCTACTTGACTGGATTTAGTGCACTGCACTTTGCAAAGCATTATATAAAAATCATTATATTTGCATTTTTTGATGGCTGTTTTTAGTTGCTGAACTACTAGTGCATTTTGTCTGTAGGTCAGAATATTGTGATGTATATCATTTGATGTGAAAATGTCTTGAAATATCATGACATGATATTTTTGCCACGACCCTGCCCCTAAATCTAGACAAAAGTGTTGAGAATCCAAATGTTACAAGTAACCCCATAGTTGGTCACATGACAAATTCATTTCTGTCCAAAAAGTAGAACAACACAACAAAACTTATGTATTTTATTTTTGTGACTTCTGTAGTACGTGTTTAACGTACGAAGCAGAAAACATGACTGAAAGCAAGTTCTACCTTCTACCTGTTTAACATAAAATATCAGTGTTGCACTTTACCCCATGTTAGGTTGTATCCCACTCACAATCACAGTCTCACTGACATATTTACATTTTGTCAAATCATTTCCATTATTTTGGCAGTTACCTGTATATAACAAGAACACTGCTCTGCAACTCTGGCAATAGATCATTCATTTGTAAACTGATATTTAACTTGAGCTACGTCCATTCTGTGCTGCGTGTAACTATGCTGTTCACTGCAAAAGCCAATAATTAAGGTTAAAAAACAGAGCACTTGCAGTTTCACAAAACATTTTATTAAATTAAAGTTTAGGATTTAATCCTAAAGAAATTGCTGGTCGACTCACTATCTGGATTACGTTGCACTAATAATCCAAGCTTTTGATAACTTAATTGTGTCTTGCTCAGAATCATGAACTTTAAGCTTCTTCACCCGGCCTTTTTTTGTAGATTAAGCAGTTTGCCTGGCTGCTTTTGCAGATAATTCACTGGACAGCATGATTCATGCTTTTCCCAATTTCAGAATGATTAGACCATTTTCTGAATTAATTTGAACTTATGTAAATTAAAAGGCAGAGCAATTAACATGTGCTCTAATTGTTAAGTTCTGGCTGGAAGAACCGAATCTCCTCCGGCTCTGAAGTCGAGCTGCCGTTGCATTCTTCTAACAGGCAAAAATGTTAAAGTAGCAGTTATCAGCAGTGGCGTAATTAGAGTGACCGAGTAGAGAAGGGAAAATAGACTCCTTAACATTTTCAGTCTAGCATTACAGAGTGAGACATTCAACCATGGCCAAAAGGCCATAAATGCTTTGCATTGAATTTTGCTGTAGAACCCCAATGCATTACTAAAGCAATAAACACTTAAGCCAGTGTGTGTTATTAGGCATAAAGTGAAGCAAATCTTATCCACGTTCCGCATGGCTTTAAGTGGCTTATTGGTTTTATAAAATGGTGGACAACATAAAATAGCAAATCAAATCACGTTTATTGTCACATCACATTTACACAGGTGGAAAGTGAGTGAAAGTCTCCCCCTATAGAATTTAAATACAAATATATATATATATATATATATATATATATATATATATATATATATATATATATATATATAAGAAGAAACACAATTTATAAAATAATAATAATCACAATAAATAATTATTCCACCAAGAAATGTACTTCCTGTAGACCTTTTTGATGCCAATCAACTATGGACTGCTAAAAGAGGACAAAAATGTTCGCCCATCACTGTATACTTTGGTAATTTCATGACATTTGTAACTTTTCGTCATTTAATAATGAACGTCATAATATAACACTGTTTAATGCAAAAACATTTGTAAGCTTACAAGCAGTTTTTGCCCCCAAATTATCACCCCAATCACAATGCTAATTATCATTAGCGGTTCTATGCAATTTCCAGTTCTATTTAGCGCCAAGCTAAGTAAGTGTCATACATTCCTTTTTCCTTGGTGAGTCTGAATGCAAATGACTCCCTACTCCCTACATAGTGGACTACATCGGAATTAGTATACTGGTCCCTGTACCCTCATCTGTGTATGTACAATTCCATACTATGATATTAATGGATGAGTTGTCTAGCCTGTGAACTATTTGAGCCTGTTGGCTAGCTGATCAGCCTAGGTTTAGTTAACAAAATAAGTTGTCAGCTCCTCAGTTTAAAAGAAAATCAGGTTCTTAATTCATCTATACAGTCTGTGGTCCATGCAAGCATCATAACATTTGAAGATTATTCCATTAACAGCAGAAGGGTTTTTAGTGACTCGGAGCAGGCAGTCACAGGTGTGCATTTCTAGGAAATTTCACAACGGCTTCCAACACAGCTCAGCCAGTTAAATTTTAGGACTGGAACTATCTATTTTTATAACTTGATATTTAAATGTACTGTTGTATTTTAATGTATTGTTGTATTTTCATTTACACACTTTTGGTAGAGGACATTATTCACATAGAAATCAATAAAAAAAGTGCTGAGTGGCAAATTTGGAATGTGACTGCTTTAGTAACACAGATATGAAAAAGAATCCAAAAGAAATTCATGGTTTATACACAACAAACAGAGTTCAGGTGTCTGAGGGCAGGAAATACTTGAAACTGTGTAGAACAGGGGTCCTCAAGACTAGAGTTGAGAACCACTGTGATAGACCAGATTTATTTGCGACTGGCCAGAGGTTTTCATTCTTCATCTTACCCTAACTGACGACTGAGACCAACTGATTGAACTGGCAGAATCAGGTGAGCTCCTGCTTGATTGGAATGTAAATCTGCACCTATAGTTTCCCCTTTGCAGACAAGATTGGTGACCCCTGTTTTAGATTATATGAAGTCTGTCTTAGATAGTTTGCACTTTTGACTTATGGTCTCTTGGTCTTATTTTTAACTTGGAGCTTTAAAATGTGGTCTTTATTTTGAAAGGTTATGCTGAGTTAAGCCCTGCTGGGGTTATGAACTTAAATGGAGCGTAGGCAGGGTCCATACTCCATCTTCAGTTTCAATTAAGCTGTACTTTTAAGACATGATGTATAGTCACATTTGGCTTCCACAAAA